GACGATTAATAAACAAGGTAGAAGATACTCTCCTTATGAATAGCAGGTCAAAACAATGCAGGTGTGGGATGAGAATTCACTCATGGATACTCCGATCCAGATGGTGACTGATTCAGGAATATGGGCTTTGGTGGCTAGCCCTAATAAGCCACCGGATGACAAATGAAGCTTATATGCTGGAACTGTCAAGGGTTGGGCACACCCTTGACAGTCCAGGAATTAAGAGCCATTACGGCTCAAGAAAGGCCCAACCTGGTATTCTTAATGGAGACTAAAAACCAGGAGATGGTAATCCAAAGACTAAAATGGAGATTGAAGTTTCAGCACTGTTTTGTGGTGAATCCGAAAGGAATTGCAGGAGGGTTGGCTCTCTTTTGGCAGGATGGAACAAATATAAAGGTTGAGTCAGCTGCTGAGGAGTTTATTGATGTCATTTACGAGGATCCTGAGAGAGGACATAAGAGTAGGTTGACTTTTCTCCATGCTCCAGCTACATTTCAGGCAAGGTTGGCTTTATGGGAGAAAATTCGAAGCCCAAACTTGCAGAACCAACTACCATGGGTTTGTCTTGGCGATTTCAATGAAATTATGTATCACTGGGAGAAGGTGGGAAAGGGAAGGGCTGGGAATTATAGGTTGAATGCTTTCAGAGAGTTTCTAAATGACTGCCACTTGTTGGATTTAGAGAACAAGGGATGTGCTTTCACTTGGGCGAATAATCGTGAAGGAGATGAATATGTTAAAGAGAGGCTGGATCGGGTAACTTGCAATATGGAATGGAAATTTTTGTATCCCGAAGTAGAAGCCTTTGCGCTACCAGCCATCGGGTCAGATCATAGCCCAATTCTATTGTCATTTTCAGCAGAACCAGCGAAGAGAGTAAAGCTGTTTAAGTTTGAAGCTTTCTGGCTAGAACATGAAGAGTGTGGCAGTATAGTAAAACAAGTTTGGAATTCTACAACCTGTGCTGACTTGAGCTTAGCAAGAAAGCTGAAAGTTTTAACAAAGGAGTTGGACAAGTGGAGCAACAGGACGTTCTCTAAAAATAAAAAGAAAATTACAGCTTTAAAAGGGGAACTCCAGCATTTGATGAATACACAAAGTATAAACTTTGAGAGAGATGGAGTGAAACAAATAACTGACCAAATCGAACAATGCTGGAGGCAGGACAAGATGTATTGGGGGTTGCGTTCAAGAATTAGTTGGCTGAAATGGAGCGACAAGAACACAAAGTATTTTCATGCCACAACTATACAAAGGAGACAGAAAGAATTTCAGCTTTGAAAAAGCCAGAAAATAGTTGGACTCGGGAACCTGAGGAACTGAAAAAGATGACAGCTGATTATTTTAAAGAATTATATAGCACAGTGGGGACCCGCAATTTTGATCCAGTTATACAAAAGTGCCCTATTCTTGTATCGGATGAAATGAACCAAAAGCTGAATATTGAAGTAACATTAGAAGAAGTGAAAAGGGCAGTATTTCAATTGGGATCCTTGAAATCACCAGGTCCGGATGGTCTAAATGGTCAATTCTACCAACATTACTGGGAGGATATCAAGATGGGAGTTGTCCAAATAGTAAGAAATTTCTTTGAGACGGGGAATTTCGATCCGAAAATAAATAAAACATATATCTCATTGATTCCAAAAGTGCCTAACCCTGAGAGTTTGGATCAGTTTCGACCTATCAGTTTCTGTAATTTTGTGTATAAGATCTTTTCGAAGGTCTTAGCCAACAGGTTGAAATCGTGGCTCCCGGAAATTATAGATGGCGAGCAAAGCGCTTTTGTGGAAGGAAGGCAAATTCAGGATAATATTCTAATAGTGCAGGAGGTCCTTCATCAATTGAGAATACGTAATCGTAAGAAGAAATTTCAAGCAGTGCTGAAACTTGATATGAAGAAGGCATATGACAAGATAATGACCTGTGTTCGGACTGTTTCATTCAGTGTGAAATTCAACGGGGAGCCTTTACCCTTCTTCCAGCCCTCAAGAGGACTTCGACAAGGTGACCCTCTTTCTCCCTATCTATTTATCCTGATGGCTAACACAATGTCATGTCTCATTAAATCAGCAGTAGAGGAGGGAACTATCACTGGAATAAGATTAAACAGGCATTGTCCAATCCTCTCACACTTGTTATTTGCGGATGATTCCATTTTCTTCTTGGACGGTAAGATAAGTGAGTGTCAGAATATGGCTTTAATTCTGAATCAGTACTGTTATGCTATCGGGCAAGCCATTAATTTGAACAAATCAAGCATATCGTTCTGCAAGGGATGTCCACAAAATTTGAGAAGGAATATGGCAAACGAATTGAGAGTCTCTGAAGTTGAACAGACTGGGAAGTACCTGGGAATACCATCAGAATGGGGGGTTTTTAAGAAGCAAATGTTTTCATGGATATTAGCCCGAGTCAACATGAAATTAGAGGGGTGGAAAGAAAACTTGATCTCCAAAGCTGGCAAAGAAATCCTACTCAAGACAGTGGTTCAAGCGTTGCCTCAATATGCCATGTCTATTTTTAAAATCCCAATATCTATTTGCCAAGCCATTGAAAGGCGAATAGCTTCATTTTGGTGGACAAATAGTCAATCAAAAACGGGACTACACTGGAGAAAATGGGAATTACTGAAACAACGAAAAGACTCAGGAGGAATGGGATTTAGAGATCTTACATCCTACAATAGAGCTATGCTTGGTAAACAAGCATGGAGACTTTCACAGAATATATCTTCTTTATGGTGTAAGATTCTAAAAGGAATCTACTTCCCTCATGGCTCATTTTAGAATGCTGAAAACGGATCCCGACCCTCTTGGGGTTGGCGAAGCATCCTATTGGGCAAAGAAACTATTTCACCTTCAGTAATGTGGTCAGTGGGTAATGGAGAGAGTATTAATATAAGAGAAGACAAATGGCTTAAGAGAGGAATCATTGGCGGACCAGCGAATTGTGGTGAACCCACACGAGTTTCTGAACTGATTCTAAAAGAGGAAGATAAATGGGATGAACAATCTCTTCGTAGACTGTTTGATGAACAAATTGTTAGCGAAATTCTAGCAACTCCTTTGAAAAGCCAAGACACACGAGACAAGTTGGTGTGGACAGGTTCAGAAAATGGTCATTTCACAGTTAAGAGTGCCTATAACAAGGATCGACAAATTGTTTTGCAAAATACAGGAGAGCGTTCATCAACATCGTTTCAGCCACCCCGGGAGTTGTGGAACAGAATTTGGCATATGAAAACCCCCCCAAAAGTCAGAATCTTTTTGTGTAGTCTATGTCAAAATGCAATCTCAACCAAGGCGAATTTATGTATAAGGAATATATTACCTGAAGATTTATGCCCATTTTGCAAATCTGAACCTGAGACGATAGAGCATTTGTTTTTGCTTTGCCCCTGGACCTCACAGATCTTGGCGAATCCTGTATTAAAAATTAAAATCTCGCGAGTAGGCTTGTCAAGAATTGAAGAGTGGTTACTGAAATTCAGGGACAGAGCAGAAAACACACCGTCCTTCGAGATTGTTGCAGGAGTCCTCTGGTTTATATGGAGGGCAAGAAACGACTTCATTTTTCGGAACCGACGCCCAAATCCAAAATTTCTCGTGGAATCAGCACAGAATATGCTCAGTAATTGGTGGAAATGGAACGGCAAAGAAAAGGAACCCATAGCAGGAGAAGAAGCCCTACCTCGACGCTGGACGCCTCCAAAGATCGGAACTTTAAAGGCAAATGTTGACGGATCCTTCGTCGAGGGGTCGAATGTAGGAGCCTTCGCCTGTGTCGTCTGAGACGCGACTGGAATTTTGGTGGATGGAGTAGCGGATCTGGCCCCGGTATCATCTGCAATACACGCCGAAACCCTAGGGCTGCTCGCAGCTCTCTCTCTCCTTGAAGTGAAAAGAGACGAAGAGATTGTACTAGAGTCTAACTGTTTGACTTTAGAACTCAGGCGGGTCATGGGCCGATTCAAGAATATCACTTTAGCCCACTGCACTAGAGAGTCTAATAGAGTAGCTGACTGGATTAGTAAAGCCCATAGATTGAATGTTTTACCTTCTAATTGGGTAGCCCAACCTCCCCACCTCCTTTGGGATTTACTCTGTTTTGATGCCCAGTAGTGGGCCATGGAAGTTGAGACTTTCGGTTTCAATAAAATTTTGTTTTGACAAAAAAAAAACATGTATATAATTTCCCATATAATCAATTAGTGATGGCTCTTCTATTAAATACATAATTATATATAGCTCAATTCTAACATTTATAGTTGAAATTTGCATGTCAATAAGCATGTAAGATAAAATTAAGGGCCCATTACCTTAGGATTTTAAATTAAACATAAAATTAAGCATATTACTTAACAGCGATAATTCTTATTAATTTAAATTTATTATCAATTTTTACAAGTGAAGGATCATTAAATATATGAAGGGGCATTATAAATAATTTTTTTGGTTGAAAAAGTGAATACAACATTAAAAACCACCCACCCATGGGTAGCTAAGTTGGTTAGGGCGTACTTGGGATTGTGTGGTTAGGCGCACTGATCCCAGGTTCGATTCCCCAGCTGAGCACTTGTGATTTAAGTGGGGGCCATGGCGGTGGGTTGCTGTGCTAGTCTCCCCCGAGGAATAGTCGAGGTGCGCGCAAGCTGGTCCGGACACCTCGGTTACCAAAAAAAACAACATTACAAACCAATTGATAAGTGGCGACAGGGAAATCCATTTCCGAAAGCAAGAATATCTGACCTGATTGGCACAAGCGATGGCCGAAGGTCCTAAAAGTGTGAATGAATTTGGGGCCAGCACAGTTGGTCGTCCATTATGATTGCTCTATAATGGCATTGTGCATTTTCAAAATGAATTAATGTTATGCAAAAATCATCATTTTATTATATCCACAAAATTGAGTAAATGTACTTAGACTAAAGCTTGCACAAGCTGCATCTCCAAGAAAATGGTTCAAAACGGCAACAAGTCCCTCCTCCGCTCAACGCAACAGCTTGTCGTTTAACTGTTCTCCGATCAAATTTGAATACTCGTCGTCCGCTCCATGATTCATTCCACCGATTTCTAATCCTCAACGTCTTCAATTTCTTTCGCCTTCTTCTCTCCCCAATCCAGCGCCCAGCGGGAGCTAATCGCAGCGTAGAAGAGGACACTCCAAAACATGCCCGCCGGTTGCCGCATCAGAGCTCTCTGGATCCTCAACGGCCACGACGCCGTCGTCTTCTCCAGGTCGCGCTCTCTCTCTCTCGTCGGTTCACGCATTTTCATTCGAACTGTCGGTGGGGTTACCAGTTTGCGATACCGATGCTGTTTAGGGAGGCTGATTGCTTTGATTATGTATTTTTCGATTTGATGATGCTGGTGTCTGTTTGTAGCGAGACTGGTTTACGAATTTGGTTTGCAAAGTGACTGATGGGACATACGCCTCCTGTGGGCATTATCGGTTAAAGCGTGTAGCGATCGCTTTTGGCGTGAAGGTGAAAAAGTTGTTTTTTAGTGTTGTTTGCGTTGCGGCTTGCTCGGTAGCTCTTGTATTGTACTTAGAGAAGGACTTGGGTTTCTTGCGGAAGCCCGAGTAGTGTTGACCTTTTGTGCTTTGTAGAATGGATTGAGTCCGGGAACCATAACAATGACAAAACCGTCTCCCCGCAGAGGCTCGAACTGTACGGTGCTTGGCCTGCTGCTGTGGGTTGTTTACTGATGGGTGTCTTGTATTTCTTCTTTTGACTGGATGAGGTAACAGGAGGTTTCCGGTGGTGGAGAAGCAGTGGCGGGCGGCTTGCAAAAGTGAGGGCGAGCGCAGTGGCGGTGGTGTCGACGGTGCGGCGTTGCCGTATTTGCCGTCTGATTCAGAGTTGGCTTCTTCATTTGCAGAGAGAAAGAAGAGGTTTGTCAAGATGTTAATACAATGAGTCGAGAGCTCCTTGGTTTCACTTGACGAGTTTACTTGGATGTTTGCTTATATTTCTGCACAAACTGAACACTTTGGTAATAATCATATGTCAAAACTGCATTTGCATGTTGTTCGCTTATGTGTGTCTGATGTAGATAGCGTCCAGGAACAATCATTTGCACATTATGTCTCTGTCTTGTCTCCAAGAATTGATGCTTGGCGTTTGTTCCCTTAAGTTGCTATAAGATTGGCTCATAATTTGCATAGTAAGAGACATAAAAAATTTGGCGGAATTTAGAGTCACTCTTGTTCGAATGCCATGGGTTTCGTTATTGAGTATATGAGGAAATGGCTGCATTCTTGATAAAAAATGCTTTATGAGAATGGACAAAATAAGAGTGATCTTTAGTTGTTCCAAGTTTAGAGTTAATTTGGTTGTGATCTGTTAATAGTATCTGCATCACTCCGTAAAATTATGCACTGGTGTAACACACCCAGTCTAAATAATGATAACGGGATTAGATGGTTATAAGTCTTGCATGGCTATTGAGAATGCATATTGCAGTTTACCTATTTCTACTGTCTTGTGACTTCAATAATTCCCTAAATAATTTGACATCATCCATCTATGTTTAGAGAAGGATCTGTCCGTGGATTTGGCATACGTGTGTCTCAGTCTGCTGAAGGTTCAGATTCTTGGGTAGATAATCCAGTTATGCGTCATGTCATTAGCATTTACATCAGCAAAGAAGAGGCAAGAGAAAATTATCTGTTGTGGCCTTTGATCCTGCATACGAAGAGTCAGTTCTGCATCCTTGTACTGCCTTTGGTTGAGCTTGGACATTTAGATTCATATAAGGTATTATGCAAAAGATCTGATTGTGGCAATGCTGTTGGAGGAGTGGATGGAAGTTTATCTTCGCTCCTGCTTGATCTTCCATCAGTTACAGGGTATGGTAAGTTACTCATTTTGTTAGTTAGGAGACATTAGAAATTTCTCTCTCACACGGTTCTGTGGCATCAGGCCATCAGTATATTTGTCCTCTCTTTTTTTTTTTGGTAAGGTTGTCCTCTCTTTTGTGCAGTAGATAGTTAATAACCTATTCTTCTTGCTAATATATCTATCTAGCCTAACTAGATTGTTCTATAAGTTAAAGGAAATAATTGAAGAATGCTTTGTCATAGTTAAAAATGTTGAATGCAAAGATCATATCACTTGAAGGCTGGTTCTGATCTATGGGAGTGTTTTTCTCATATCATGCTCTGTTTGGGCTATGCCTAAGTTTTAGTACCTTAACCAAAAGGCAAAATTTTACATCAAGTTGAACATTCAGTAGATGTCCTATCCATTTTTTTCTTTGTGAGGTTCACTTTTCCAGTCCAGACAGGTATAATCCAGATAACAGGCACAGTTGTGCGTTAGGCTTGTAGCAATGGAGTAATTGTCTCCAGATTGTGCCGGTTTGTGCTTTATATCATCTAGAATCATTTACATGCCTTTTCTTTCACTTTGACCACCCTTGAATTACTGAATCCTATTTGAAGCATCGAATGATGGTGACCCAGCATTATCCATTCTCTCTCCTTTAACGATTGTTTTATTTTCTCTCACTGGCACTAATTGTTTCCCCGTAATCTGTTTTGCAGGGCATTCATGGTAACACATGCCATTGGTGAGATAATTTCTGGGGATATGGCTGAACCTGAAGTGATTGTGAATGCATCCCCATCTGTGGGAGGGTTATTGGATTCCTTAACTGGCAGCATAGGTATATCATCAAGAACAAAGCCTGTGGCAGCTCCAGTTGCATCTTCAACTCCCTCCAATACTTCTGTTGGCGCTGTCTCATCAGATGCTATGAAAATTGGTTCAAGGCCATTGGATAAGGATGCACTAAGGACTTATATTAGTAGCTCGATGCCCTTTGGTCAGTGATGTTTACTCTGCTTATGACAGTCGCTTTCGTCGCCCCTCTTCTGAACTGTGCTTTTCCTCTTTCTAGGATTGGCTAATGGTTTATTTTTTTCTATTCTTCAAATATAGGTACCCCTTTGGATCTCAATGCTTCCAATATTTTCACTATCAAGCTTAATGGTTTTTCTTCAGCAGATCTGCCTCCTGCAGATGTCAAACAGCCTGCATGGAAGCCATATCTTTACAAGGGGAAGCAGAAAATACTTTTTACAATTCATGAAACTGTTGCTGCTGCCTTGTATGATCGTGATGAAATTCCAGATAGCATTTCAGTGTCAGGTCAGGTTAATTGTCGAGCAGAATTAGAAGGACTGCCTGATGTATCCCTTCCTTTGACAGGACTGAATAGCAGTCGTGTCGAGTCTTTATCATTCCATCCATCTGCTCAAGTTCCAGAACAGGGTGCGGATAAACAGTCGGTGATGTTTTCACCACCATTAGGTAATTTTGTTCTGATGCGCTATCAAGCATCCTGTGGGCTTGGACCTCCCATAAAGGGATTCTATCAATTGTCAATGGTTTCTGAAGATGAAGGTGCATTTTTGTTCAAACTAAGCTTGATGGAAGGTTACAAGGCTCCTTTGACCATGGAATTCTGTACTCTGACTATGCCTTTTCCTAGGAGAAGGATTATTGCGGTGGATGGAACTCCTTCAGTTGGAACTATTTCAACTACAGAGCACTCTGTCGAGTGGAAAATTTTAGTAAGTGGACGAGGTCTTGTTGGAAAAAGCATTGAAGCTACCTTCCCGGGGACAGTTAAGTTTGCACCATGGCAAACCCAAAGGTTCCCTTTTGCAAAATCATTTTTCGGAAGCATGGAAGAGGAAGATAGCGATGTTGACACAGAACCCACCAATAATATGGTCAATGTAGAGGAATATCTGATGGAGAAAATGACCAAGGATCTCCCTCCAGTCGATTTAGAGGAACCATTTTGCTGGCAGGCATACAATTATGCTAAAGTATGAACGTCTGGGTTCACTTGAAGTTAGTTTATGTAGTTAATTTTCTTGTGATGCATGCATTTATGGCTTCACGTATGTGGTTCTGTGTGCATCTACAAAAGCTGTCTTTTCTTATGAAGAGAAACCCTAGCCATTCTTTCCAGAATAGGTATTCATGAAATGGTTTTCTTAGCTTAGTATTGTTTGTCTACTTGAAACAGTGTTGGTGCACTCTTGACTGGACTCTACTGTTCAACTAAATAATCACTTGTTCATAGTGTGAATAAAAAAGGGAACTCATTCATCAGTGAACCACTTATATAACCAATCCCATGCATCTTCTGTCGGTTAGAGATATGTGAGGTGAGGAATTAATCATAGAGGAGCCTTGTTAGAGATGTCATAGAGTCAGCACGCAACAAAATAACTTGCCATGAACAATTTGGTTGCAAGAATAGCAAATGTTCTAGAGAGGATTATTCGAGATGTTTTGTTAGGTTTATCGTTGATTCACTACCAGTACTTGGTTTTGCATCTCCATTTCAACTAGTGCTTCACATATTTATCTCTTGCAACGGCTGTGGGAAATTCTGTTATGGGCTATTGTTTGCATGATCACAGGTGTCTTTCAGAATTGCTGGGGCATCATTGTCTGGGATATCCATTGATCCCAAATCTGTAAGATTCTTTCCTACAACTTGCTAAACTCCTTTTGGCTTACAGAAGAAAAGTTACTTTGTTGCTCTCCTGTTGCAAAAAGTTTGGTGTACCTGTTAGATTCTAATTTTGGAGAGGGGTGCAGAAATGTATTGTTTGCTTTTTGAAATACCTCTTCAAACTATATGATTTCCTTCTTTTGTCGTCGTCAGGTACTAAATAGTTGAATATTCAATTCAAGAGATGTGCATGGCTTGGTATGTCTGTCTTATACATGTTCTTGTTCTACGAGGCACTGTGAGACTGGAATGGGCTATCCCTGAATGAATCTGAATCATATTCTACAATAGGCAGCTATTTTGGGCTGTTCAATTTGGAAAAGCTGACTATATCTGCCCATTTGTAGTTTTCAATTACCCGAGAAGACTGGCACTTGAGTTTTTGCTGTTTGCAGATATGGGACTTCTAAATATTTCGTTTTATTCTCTTTTAAAATAATATGGAACTTTGCAGCATGAGCTGCTCAAAGATCTTCTCTAATTTTTTAGTCAATTAGTAGGTCATCCTGTTCAATATTGTGAGGCATAAGAAACAGCCACTAAGTTTTCGCTTTGTTATCATGTCTTCCATTAATGCAGGTGAGCATCTATCCTTCTGTTAAAGCACCAGTGGAGTTCTCTATTCAGGTAGCAGACCTCTTCTTACCAAAAACTTGAAATTGGCTTTTTATTTCCAGTTTGCTTGAGAGGGCCAGTGTAATGAAAAGAAAAATAATACACATTTTTGTCAAACATGTGATTCAGGCCAGAACTAGAACTATCAGTATCGAAGCAAAATGAACATCTTATAGGCTGTTTATGGACTTCTTATCACTATATCTTGATTAAACTGTGTCGTTGTTACTATGATGGGGAGGCTTTTGCAAGTGAATCAATGCCCCTGTTAGACTTCAGTGAACCATGTGCTAGCAGTGTTTTCACGCTGCTTGATTTTAAACTCTTGAGGGTTCAAACTTACAACAATGGACAGTATGTTGTTTGTCATTGAACATGTAGTGCATGGGTATGCAATATTAGTCAGAAAGTGGATATGATGATATGTTTACCAAAAATTTGTAAATCTAAGTGGTTGGAGAAGGCAATTTTCAAAGAAATATGTGCTCTTTTGTCTACCAAAGTGATGCATTCCCTTTGTGAGATAACCAATATGACATGAAGGAAAGACAATTTGCCGCTCAGTTGCTTTCCTGGTGAACCATGGTAACACTGACCTTTTGTGGAAAGTGATCAGATATGAAAGTTTGCCTTGTACATCTTTTCAGGCCTCAAAACTTCTTCAAACAGCAATCAATTTTTTAAAGCCATGGTTCTCATATTTTTCAATTTCTTTTGCAGTAATCTTGTTTGCTTGCTTATAACAGGTGACTGCTGGGGATTATATTTTGTGGAACACATTGGGCAGATGTCCCTCTGTAGCAATGCCAAAATAGACGAAGTCATGTAAAAACTGTGGATTGCTTACCGCCTTCCACGACTGTTGTGTGAGAACTCAGAAGGAACTTCAACATTGGATCTACAGGTGTTATTTCATTCATTCTGAACCTACTTGTCTGGTAACTGAATGGAACACAAACAGACTTGAACCTTGTCTATGATAATAACAACATTGGTCCTTGTCTAATATGCAATATCATCTCTGAACTTTCAGTTAATTAGTCATGGAGATGTCTAATATGTAGTGTTGTCCATGAACTTTTAAATTGGTTCAGTTAGATCCTTAAATTTTTGTGGTATGTACAGTCGTCATTTTGAACTTCCAATTAAGTGCACAAAATTGTCTGTAGTAGAGATTGCAGTGTTGCTTTCATTATTCGTTTTTTCCTTTTCACGAAAATTTGGGAGATTACAAACCCTGAGATCATTGTTAAAGAGGATTGAGTTAACGAGAGCTTCTATTTAAGTCAAGCTTTTGGTTTTTTCGTGTTTTCAAAGACTCGAGTGAAGAAAACGTTTTCAATTCGAAGTGTTTAATCCACATTTATAACTTTCTCCATCCAACATGAGTTTATAATAGATTGGTGTCCACTTGAGCAAACTTCCTTCATAGTATTAACGAGAAGATGACATTGAACATGTAGTTCAGGGATTTTGAACCAATTTAATATATGTATTGCACATTGGATTAAAGTTCACAAAATAGGAGTGTCATTATCTTCATATGAGTTAATAGCTTCAACCATTGGCCCTCATTGAAACTTTCTCTTTGGTTGCGTCCACCTTCCATCCCAGCACGATCGAGTTCATCACTTCGAGCTCAGCTGCCTCAAGTTCATCAATGCCAAGCCCATTATGAGTAGGAGATCGAAGCACCGACCTTCCCTTTTTCGTGGGGGAGTTTTACACAGCCGAATCCAGTGTTAAAATAGTCGCAAGCGTGCGGAATTTGTATGATCTATACCAAAGTACGTAGATGTTAAATGCGCTTCTAGCAATGTAGGTGGTACTTAGATAAAGACTACAGTTGGAATAGATATTAAATGCACTTCCAGCTTTTGCCGAAAATAAGATTTCTTCGCTTATTAACCTTTTGGATTAAGCTTCCCGTTCCTTTATTGTTTAGAAAAAATCAAGAGAATATTTTCACTGCATTTTCCAAGAATCCCACCCCACTCCCATCTCATTTTCTTCGCATTCTTCTTCTTTCTCTCATGCCCCCTCTCTCTTTAAATTTTTTAATTGATATATTTTTCTGGAAGCATAGATTATCAAATAAGAAAAAAAAATGAAAATCGTATACAATTGCTCTAAAGGTAAAGATCGATGATACAAGTTTTCATTTCTAAATCATTCTTTTAATGTCTCCTTGTTTTCAGAAAAATAGACACGAAGACATGAATTTCTTATTTCATCAATGAATTAAAGTCCAATTTGAAGATTCATATTTTTATTAGCTTGCCTCCATATAAAATTTACAAATTGACCGTAAATATTGCAGTTCTTTTTAAAAGTACTTCGAATCGACAGGACACACTTACTCGCACTGCCTATGCATGCATGCACGAAGCATTTCGCGTACGTGGTATCGAGGTCACTCATCCTTGACATACATCACATATTAATTAATAACCAGAGAAAGCTAAGATCAGATTTTATTAGGGATATAGATGGTACAAAGCCGTACATACTAAGCTCTCGACATACACGTAATTAAAAACAAAAGATAAAGATAAGAAAGCCACACGATGATGTGGTGGTTTCCAGTCTCTCTACTCCTACCGATGTCACCGTGTCTCGCAACTCGAAGAGCCAGAAGACACAGTCACCTCTTTATTGAAACGCCATTGACATTCTCATCTGATCTTAGTTCAGAGCTTCAAGCCTCGACTGCTTCTACCACATGGCTCTGATGTCGCAGTACCGAGATTCAAACCCGCACACGTTGTTAAGGTTCCTCACGCACCTCGTCACGTCCTCTTGCGATCCCTGACCTCCGAACCCGCCTTTCTGCTCCCTAACGACCTCCCTCAGTCCCTTGCACCGGCATGGGTCGTCCAGCTGCCTCAGCTGCTGGCAGCACGGCCTGAAGTGCCTCGACTGCCTCAGCTGCTGGCTTGAGCACTGGCATTCGCCGTACTGGTCGCCTCCGAATTGGCGTTCGCCGTACTGGCCGCCGCCGCACCTCAACACATCCTCGAAGAGCTGCTCGCAGCGGTCGAGGTCTTGCCTCTCGATCTGCTCGTAGCAGCTCCCACCGCGGCGCTTCTGGTTCTCGGGCTCCTCGATGTCGACCGTGGTTATGGTGGCGCGGTTAGCCGCGGCGGCGTGGGACATCACCAGGAGGACTCCAAGGATCGCTGCCAGGGTTGCAATCTTCGCCATTGTGGGTTATTCACGAGAGAGTGAGTTTGATTCTTGGGTATGATTGTTTTGTGTTTTGGTGAGTGATAAAGGGCAGTGGCGGGTGGTTTATATAGAGGAGCTCTAGGGTTTGCATGTGGAGTACGTGGATGGTGAGATAATCAGCCAGGGCCCAGGGCTTGTCATTTTGGAGGTGGTGGCCTCGTGCATGGAGGAAACGGTGGGTTTGTACTAACACGTAATGCAAAAGAAGCTGTTGGCATGCACAGTGATCAGCCAGCCTTTGGTTTGATCGAATGCAGGGATGATCGTGTGATTGACACTTACACATTTCGACTGTGACTCTGATTTTTCGTAGTTTATTCGCAGCGTCTCAACCTCTCCATGTTGATGTGGCCATGCAAATGCTGCCGAAGAAATACCTTCCTTCTTCGGGAAAAATGGAATCCCACAGCACAGTGCGCGATCTCGCTCTCGAGTAATTTTAGTCTCTGCAAGCTAATTCTTGAATATGTTGAAGATTAATCAATTAAGGCTTTGATGTTCTCTACTGGTTTTGGTATCTTCGGTTTCGATCATTTAGACCGATCAAGAGGCATTGATCATTTATTTTGTATGGGTGCAGTACTCATGTATTAATATTTGAATGCTTGATTTATGCAAAGTTGTTTTGGTCATGACTACGATGAAGTATGCATTACGTTGATGGCTGTTCCACTATAACTATGTGAGCCCCATTTGCCATTTCAAGATACAAAGATCGAAAGTACACGAAAACGATTTTTCATTAATGCGATTCTCGTATAACCAAACCTCTGATTTTGTATTTTCACAATGCGATTCCAATTACAAACGAATTGTGTAAATGACCACCTTGGTGGCCTCATGAAAAAATTTTCTTTGAATAAAATTTTATCTTGATCGTAGCTTCTTCTGCGGCCATTCTCTCTCCACTGAAAACATCTGCAGAAGTCTGCACTTTACATGAACAACCTCATGTTCTCTTGGTCGAATCAATGTACAGCTTGTACAGATTTACGCTATTTGCCGACAAAGGCCAGGAAAATTGTATATGAGTCACTACGGCTTCTTAGCCTGCAGAAACATGGAACAAAAATGAGCAAAGCTAAAATGAAATGCCAATAAACGCTAAATCTCATGACATGGTGCGAGGACAAAAACATCGCAGCGATCAAGTTCGTCAAGCAAGCAATTCCCATTAAGACTGATTAGTCATATTCGTTCATGGAACAGTAGACTGTACAGTTCTTACAAGTTGCCAAAATCAAATTGGAAAAAACTGGACAAACTATGATGCTACTTTTGATCAGAACTTTAATATGTCTTGAATGTAACAATAGAAATTGGACGGACGAGGCAAAAAGAAGTCCGGATTCTCATCCCAGCTTAATTACATCCTTTCAACTTGACATTTCATACTAAACCAAGTATTAAAGAAGAAAGAGTAGACAAGATGGCACCTTTCTTAAATACTTCTTGTGTATTTTCATAGCTCCGCTGCATGCTTTCTTGGCATCTAGGTTACCGGTGACATCATTTAGTATCTGAAAAGGGTAAAAAAGAAGTTGAACATCAATTCAACTAAAGCCAAAAGAAAAGCATGTCAATTTTTAAAGCAATATCAAGACACAACTATGAAGGCCTCTTTAGGAAATGCAAAAGCAGAAGAGCAAGAAAATTGTATCGCCAGGCTAGCGCTTGCAGTCCTGCATTAACAGACCAATTAGATGATAGTACTCTTCGAAATTTCAGAAGTGAAAAACTATAAGCATTGAAGGATGATTCTTGCAGTAAACGAGTCTTTTTTTTCCCCAACGTAATGAACATAAAGTTTCAAATATGCAATTGCAGTAGAAGAAACTCCGTCCTTTACCCTACTTTGCAAAGCATTATCCCACTCAGCAACATTCATTTTTCTCCCTCTTAATGGACAACAGAAGCAAAATTAGAAACTTCTCAGACTACCTTAACGACATCATCTAGGCCCCGAGCTTCTTGCAATAGCTTTGAGCTCTTATCTTTTAAGACACTGGCAACCAAGAACAAAGATATAGGCAGAGACGCTTCGGAACTCTTCGCTCCATTTCTAATGTTTTCCCTCTCAAACTTCCCACACTGTCGTATCGACTTGACCTTTCCTTTAGATCCTTCAACCTTTTCATTAGCTGCTTCAGGATCTTCATACAGAGAGAACAAGTCTGGGTCATATTCCAGGGCCCACATCATCTGCCATATGCAATTGTTCTCAGTCTCAGGAATTCCTAAACAACTGGTGGACATTTTAGCTTTGGAAACCTGTAAGGTTACTTAAGCATACCTCCCAAAGATATAGAGAGTCGCAAAATGAGAACTCCCGACGGAACAAAACCATAAGCATGCGGAATGCAAAAAGATAGTCACCTCCACCAAGTGTTTCTGTGCTCGAGCATGAAAAGGTATTCATTAACATCATATAAAGAAAGAATCTGGGCGTAATACGGATAGAAGAACGAATATTTGTCCACAAACTTATGAACAACAGATTTGCAAAGTATCCATTTCCAAATGTTTGAGCTATAATTATCAGGCACTACACTGACTGATTATTATAATTTTTAGTGGAAGACATGAATAATAAACAGGGGATGTAGGAGCCGACAGATAAGAGGCAGAGATATAGTGGTCGACATATATAATTTGATTTTCTGCTTGCAAAATCCTTTCAAGTCACAGTTTCAATTATTACAAAAAAGAAAGAATAATTAAAAGTCATACCTAAATGTTGATGGAGTTTCGGATCAATAATTTGGGTTATTGAAGCTAAATTATGCAGCTGTGCTTCCACCCCAACAGATCTTTCAGTGCATCTGAAATTTCCTCGCTTTAAATATCAGCAAATGAAATCCATGAGAAAAAAGAAAAAACAAAGGATAGGGAGAAGAAACAAAAAATTGGAAGAGAAACCAAATTTTGGTCATTCATCTCGGTAGAGTAGAATTATTAATTGAAATATCAAACGCCTCCTAAAGAAGCAACACATGCTGCATAGAAAACAAGACACGTCACAAGTCACAGAAGATGGTTGACATTTACATCCTTGAGAAATGAGACTTAAAAATAAAAATAAAAAACAGAAAGCAGCTTGACTATAATGATTTCAATAGCTTGCAGTAATTTTTCCCACTGTGACCCTCCAGTAACAGGGAGCCTTTGTCTATATCGATTTAGGTTTGGGTGATGCAAGGAGCCAGATATCCACCAGATTAATGATGTTACATCAATTTTCTCAACTCAGCCTCATTCAAATAATAAAACAATCTTCACTCGTGGCACAGATCCGTTGAAAGTTTTGGAAAAGTTAACTGTTAAAAGCTTTCACGATTCTCTCCCACCCACAATTTATATTCACTTCGAATCCAAAGACATAAATACAACTAAAAGCAAAAGGAGATGGTCACTTTTCATTAAAGAAAGCAAGTCCAGCATAAGGATTTTAGGACATACATTAAAAAGTGATATTTTATTAGCTTGGATTCATTCTTGACATGGGACAACAAAAAATGCCAGCAGCACAAAACGTTCATTGCAAATCATCTTTCACAGACTGGCACCAAGGACAAAGGAAAGACAATTTCCTATTGAAAGAAATCATAATGAAGACAGAGCATTAGGAACCATTTCAGCTCTTTCACAAGTAATCAAGAGGTGGCACACAAACAATCACTAGTAGCCTGTCTATAAACTTCTGAAGACATTAGAAAATAACATACCAGTCTGCGCATTAAGCGTTCAAAGCACCAAAATGCATCGGCCTCATCATGAAGGAGAATTATCATAGGGGAGCAGAGATCGCTCATTCCTGTCCATAATTTTAATTATCTTCAAAATTACAGTGTATTATTATACCAACAGGAATTTCAAACTGTGTATTGTACGGTGGAATGACCTATACATTAATCCTTCAAGAGAACATACAAGCAAACCAAAAACATTTAAAACAACAGCTTAGCAAAAGTAATCAACCATTGATGTTTGAACAGCTGAATCACCATTATATCAAAATACTCTCATGTCTGATGGCTAAGAAGTGTTTTTTTATGTCAACTGTTGAAGTGCCTATCTGATAGTTTTCTACACCTTCCCCAGGCTAAGATCCTGAAGAGAAGTCTTGCGTGGTGGAATATACTCATTTAGAACTCAAGATAAACTTTTTCCAACTATTCCATCCATATATCTTGGCCAAAATAAAATTGTTTAGTACATATTCTTTGATATAAACATGTGAAGTCGAGATTCTTTAAGTCACATCGGATATGATCAAAAGCTATGACTGTTAATTGGTATTCGTCTTACTGCAGCGAAACTCCGGTATAACACAACACTCTAACAAAAAAAAAGGTTTAAATGTTTTAAAATACAAGGAAAATGCCCTTCAAGAACTATATCATACTGAAAAATTGGTTTTTCCGGCAGAAGCAAAAACTAATTTTTAAAGTACTGCTTAGCACTGAAACCTAATCAACTCGCGGAGCTCTGTGTTTTCCAATGAGGAAGTATAAAAGTAAAATTCATTACCTTGACAGTAGCCAACATCTTTATCTATCCATGCATAAACAGCTAAAATATCCCAGAGTTTTGACAAGTTCTCTTGCTTTTCATAAAACACCAATGTCCTGTCCGTGCGAACAACATCGAGACCTAGCATCAATATGACATTAAGCAGAATACGTCAAAAACTGCTGAAAATGACAAAAGAACTCATTAGCATATCTACAATTCTTGAAACTTCAAATCAGATAAAATGAGCTAAGACATGCACACACATGCATAAGAAAAAACAACAAGAAGGACTTCATGCTTAAAAACATGCTCAAAAGTCCAAATCTAGATACTAAATAATTGAGGTATCTCTCCGCTGTTTCAGAAAGCATGATCGTGCACTTATTTCTTGCCATAAACCATATAATAGCGATGACAGATATAAGCATCCTGGACCACTAAATAGAACAAGATGAGAAGCCAAGTTCTCACTAGTAGTGTTTCAGTATTGATGTGTATATACAGCTTGTTGGGAAGCAAATGTATGAAAGCAAAGAAAAGCATCTGTTTAGATATTAAAGTTACTGCCAACCTATTTGATGTAGAGTGAGCTTCCATTGGATCTCTTTTTTGTCCACAGAAGCACGATTTGTTGGTTCTTTTACTCTTTCCAAAACCTCACAAGAGCTTGAAGTGGAACAAGCCACAGTGTTGCCATTGGTTTGTTCGCTATTTACAGCATCAACCTCACTTTTAGGAGGTAATCCAGATTCCTTTTCTGGATTTATCTGTGAAAGCACGATAGGATCTTGAACTGGCTGACCATCTTCAGTTATTATAGGTGCAGTGACAAACCTACCACTCCCAACAATAGGGAACATTTGCCTACATTCTTCCTTCCACTGAGCATATTGATACCTGAAAGGCACAAAAGCTATGTCCCAAATCATATAGGAAATAACAGCTAGATGTTCCAAGTGACAAAAAATGGGCAGAATTTTGACAATAGACCAACGTGATAGCAAATAATGTTTGGCTGAACATAAGCGTAAGGCAACTTTTGTAGAATGCCTGGTGAGCAAGAATACCAGATAACAGACAAGCAAATAGTGTCAAAGCTTGGTATTCAAGGAGAGTTATGACCAGAGCATTTGGATAATTTAATTTAAGTCATCAAGAATGTGCAGTAGTTTTGATTAGGAATATTCTTCTAGCATAGTATTTCATCATTCTTCCGGTATAGTATTCCATATACTGTGGTTTCAACATCCCATCTTATTAATGCAAGAAGTGGCTTTTTCTGAGATTTTCCTACCCATCCATGAAACAGAAGATCAACATGATGGAATAGATCCCAGATTAAATTTGTACCCCAATATATTACTTCCAGTAAATTTATGTTTTCATTAATCTGTCTTTCAAATTAAGGCACTCATCAATCTGTCTGCCTGCTATAAAGTGGCAACTCGAACTGAGTTTAAACAAAGTGGAGAAAGAAAGAGAGGACTTGCGTGCAATAACTGATCTAATCAACAAAAAAAGAAGAGATCCATGAGTTGAATGGTGGTGATCCCCATGGTAACCAGATTCAATGTTTAGTTAGAAAAGGCATATATATTGACACAAGATGGGTTCCTTATGTTTCTGTTTATTTTCTTTCTGTTGAGGGAACATTTATCTAAGTGTTAACCGAATTGATCATCAATTTGTCCACTGAATATTATGTGTTGCAGCTTAAAGAAAAGCAAATAAAGCCATGCCTATGACTGCTGCTATCTATTGATCAGCACTTCCAGTACTAAAGGCCCGACACAGTATCCAACTCTTTGAAATATAACTAGTGTGCCAAATGCATGTTAGAGAGGAAGCACGAGAGAACATCATACGCATAAAAGAGGATACAACTACGCATTTACATTGTCTAGAAATAACTCAAGCTCCACACAACTAACAAAAATCTGCTAAAAATGCAATAGAAGGTACGCACAATTGAATCTTTTGCAGTAGAAGTCCCCAAGAATATAACTTTCATAAAAATATTAACAGTCACCCAACAATCTATATTGTTCTATAAGTAAAATAGCCCCGCAAATATTCACATGCTTCAATATTCATTATTACATAAATTAAGTAATGTTGCCCTCAAACTATTAACTGACCAAAAGATGCTTCCCACTTAGTTTTCAGAAACTTGATAATCTAACAACACCTCTCACTCTATAGTCTATCATTCTATTCTATTAGGTCTATAGGTAGGTTTCACACTGCATGAGATCAAGATACAAAACTACCGACTAATTGTTTACAATGCAAACTTAACTTAGTCGAAAAGAGGTTACCTGCGACGTTGCTTTATCTGCTCTCTTTCATCAAATGTGCTCTTGGGATCATAACAGCCAAGTAAAAATTCCCAGACTTCTCCTCTAATGGATGGATGAACACCCTAGGCAGGCACAAGGACGGGAAAAAAAGAAGAAAGAGATAAAGAACTCGATATTTTCAACTTACCACTGAGAAACAATCACAGTAATCTACATAATGGCCCGAAGTATAGTATTAACAGAAGGGAAAAAATGAGAAACCACAATGAATAGGTGGAATGTTGAATGTTTCATAGAGCTAATGTTAAATACCAATAGTGGCTGCATGAAGTATTAAATGTCACTGACACCTTTACAAATAATAGCATTAATCAGAAAAAGGAGCACACACAAGTCTCATGAGACAGACAGCAGATACAGTGAGTGAATGTGGTTCTTGGATAAACCTACATCACTAGTACAGCGCAAAGCAACTTCAAATGATGGTTGCACATGCTAATGATTATTTGGAAACAATTATGTGCAAGAAGAAACTACAAGGTTAAATTACTTGTAGGAAAATGATGTAAAAAATGCAACTGCTTGTGACACGACCGCCATCATCGACATTCGGATCTTCACATTAATAATACTAAAGCCAGTAATATCCAACCGATGCTTCACAGACAAGGGGCAGCTTATAGAGCTTTGAGAAAGTTTTACCAATTCATGCCAGACATTCATAGAAAAAAATAAAACAACAAATGCAGAAGTTCGTAAAATGCACTTACCCCATGTTGTATTCGCCTTAGAACTTTGCTTATATCCAGGTAACCGTCTGGGGTAAACGCAGCATGCCATTTCCTAGCACTTAAAGTTTTCCCAGCCTGAAGAATTAATGAACAAAGACCATTAGTCATTGCCTTGCCTGGTTGTTGGTCGATCAATCAAACATTCACTTTCCACAGGCAAATTACTTAGATGAGCAATTACATAAGTTCAGAATTAAGAACTATTCCGAAACCTTTGAAAATGATCAGAAAGTAAGTTGCGCAAGCATTAGAACTTTTCAAGATATTCCTGTTTTGAAAAGTACAAAACAATTGAGGGGAAGAATTACCTGTTTATGGAAAAGTTTACTCCGAAAGTTTTACTAGAATTGGAAAAAGAAAGGAAAGGCAAAAAACTATCCTGCACATGCGAAATAAACTACATGCAGCCACATCTCTCCAGAAATGCCCATCTACGATGGCAAGAGTGCCCGTGCCACACTCACGCCCCACTAAATTCCTTTAGTACCCAATAATTTCCATAATGGATTTAAAACTAGGGTTGCTAATGATGATAAGATTTTCTGGAGGCCATGTTCAGCTCATTATCTTAACACCATAATACTATCAACCGTCACGTCATCTCACATGAACCTTTAGCATTACGCTCGGAACTATTCACCAAAACTACTGAAATTTATTACCTTAACCTCTAAAAACCAATATGGTTGATCAACCTCCTAGATTACATACACAATGTCCAGTGTCATTTCTTACCCGAACTAAAAACCAACACTTTTAAGTACTCTATATCAGAAGTCAATTGAAACAGGATCAACCCCATTAACCATTACTTTCCTAAACCAAACAACACACCTTTTTTCTTTACAAGAAGCTACTCAGATCGAAATTGGACCAAACACATCATGCATAATTTCATACGTTCCAAGCTAATTGCGCATAGCGCGTCGACCAAAACGGTGAGCATTGAAGGAGAAACACACCTTGATCCTGAAACGGGACTTGGGAACATCCGTGCACTCGGGGCGAACCTCGTAGAACGAATCAGCCGGAGCTCCAGGATCTCTCCACATTCTTGAAACGCCAAATTTGGGCTCTCTCTATCTTTCTTGATAAAATCACAAGAACCCAGATCAAGAAAACCCTCTAAAGCACTCTCCTACCTGACCACCCATTGAACGAATCAATTCAAGCCGGAAAATTCAACCCTCCAGAGAACAGATCAAAGGGGACCCAGAGGAGGTGCTGTCCCAGGACCAAGTTTTGGGGACATCTTCAAGAGAGGGAAAAAGAACTATATCGATAAAGAATTTGGACAAGGTCAGTCCAAGAAGTTCCCCCTTCTTTAATTTAGGCCTGCAGCTTGTTCTGTTTTGGGTACTTTGATTAAAATTTTCGGATAAATTTTGGGGTGGTTGAATTGACTCGGCCGCCATGCTGCCATGCTGTCATCGTGGTGGGTTGTCCGCCGTGTCCGACGTGCGAGACCGGACGGTGGTTGACGTTTCTGCCCACATTACACAACGTTATTAAACATTCAGGACGCCTATAAAATCATTTCTGTTTCTTTATTTTTTTATTTTTCTGTTCTCAAAAACAGATTTGGAATAGAAATCCGTTTGGTAACGCAATTTTATTTTTCTATTTCTAGATCAAATTTTTACCCCAGAAATAGGTTTGGAACAGAAAACAGAAGTAAAAAAAATTTACTTTTTCAATTATGAAATAAAAATGAGAAATAAAAACTTTTATTATCACTCGCCATCGCTACTAACCAGCCACTCCCTTGCCACTCGCTATTGCCGCGGCTGCCTCCCGCCGTCGACCGCCTACCGCTGGCGTCCTTCGCCGATCGCCATCCTCCGTCGTTCGCCACCGCCCAACGTCGGCCGCAACCCGCCCACCGCCGCCTCCTGCCGTCCTTCACCTCCATCTGCCAGCCGGCCCCTGCCGCCGACCGCCTCCCGCTAGTCGGCCGCCTCTTGCCGCTGACCACCGTCCTCCGTTGCCCGACGCCGGCCGCCACCCGCCACCAATCGCCGTCCTCTACCGCCGACCGCTGTGCTCCACCGCCCCACGCCGGGCGCAACCCGGTGCCGGCCGCCCTCCGTCTCCAGCAGCCAGCCGCCCCCTAGGTGGCCGGCAACCACCCACCACCGACCACCTTCCTCCGTCGCCAGCTACCATGCTCCACCGCCCGACGCCGGCCGCCCTCCGCCCTCGGCAGCAGCCGCCGCTATCCGCAGCCAGCCGTCGTGCTCCACCACCCGACGCTAGTCGCCACCCGGCACCGATCGCCTCCCGCCGCCAGCCACCGCCCCCCGCCGCCATCCACCGTCCTTCGCCGGCCGCTTGGAAGGTAGAAATTTTGTGTTATTATCAAACGAATTTCTATTTCGGAAACAGAAATTTTGTTTCGTTATTAAACACGCATTTTTGCTCAGAAACTCATCTACGGAATAGAAATAGAAAAATCTATTTCTGACCAGAAATTAATTTCTAGAATAGAAATGTTAACATGCGCACCCTCAGTTATGCATTCCTCTTTTTTCTCCGTGGGGGCAAAAGTTCGTTTGATGTGTTCATGTTGTCGTTTTATCATTTGGTGAGAATCTTTTTTTTGCCAATGTTATTTGGGTATGGTGTTTGGCTAACAGAAATGTGACGTGTGAGTTTAGCGCGATTTTGACATATCTGGCCAACTAAAATAAATTCAAATTCATGGACACTAGATGTGAAATTAGCACAATTCTAACGCGTTGGGTCAATTAAAATAGATTTAAATTCATGGACATTGAAATAATTACTAATCATTAATGGAATACAAGTCACTTTCATTATTGATAAAGTTGTTAGCCAACGTGGACAATTTACTTCTTAAAGAAGGCCGTTAACGATGTTTGGAGGTGCGCTGTTGTGTCAAAAGGGAGAGAGAAAAAGAAAAAGGGGAAAATTAGAAAAGGAAAAGAGAAAGCGAAAATAAAATCAAACCGCTCAAAATGATTTTATGTTGATATGCAAGTCTCAAAATGATGTTCATTTTTTAGATAATGACACAAACAGTCCTTGAACTTTGGTTCAATGTGTAATTTGATCCCGAACTTCTAATTTATTCAATGTAGTCTCTAAAATTTAGCCTAATATTCAATATGGTCTATGAACTTTTAATTTGTTCAATGTGGTCCTTAAACTTTTGGTACATGTTTAATTTAGTCCTTGAACTATATGAAAATGTAAAATATAGTCCCTAAACTTGAATTAATGGAAGGACTACATTGAACATTTTTATAAAATTTAGAAATTATATTAAACATGTATCAAAAGTTCAGGGACCATATTGAACAAATTGAAAGTTCATGGAGCATATTGAACATTAGGTTAAAGTTCAAGTACTATATTAAACAAATTAAACAATGATCAAATTGTACATTGAATCAAAATTCAAAGACTGTTTGTGATATTTTCCCTTCATTTTTTTCCTTTTATATTGTGCCAAGTTGCTAAAAGGACATTTGAACAAAAGAAAATAACACAAATGATCCCCGAACTTAATCTAATATGTCCAATATGAAATATCACCCATGAACATTTAATTTATTCAATACGGTCCCTAAATGTTGATTCAATAATAAAAAAATCTAGAGATAACATTGCACATTACGTCACGCATAAATTAAAAATTTATGAATGATATTGCATATTAAATCGAAATCTACGTACAAATTGTGTTATTTTCCCTTAATAAATAATTTGCCAAATCACAAGTGATGTTATGGATCATCACGGGGTGAGTTGGATAGGAATGCCACCGGGATCTACTCTCGACGCACGCATCGTGCAGCACTCATACTCATCATACGAAGACGATGCAGAACAGGATTCGGGATTGATAAAAGCAGCTCTCCACTTTGACCCGGAAACGAGAATCCGGTGAAGTGTCGGAGGAGGGAACAATGGCGACCCGTGCGCTCATCGGAGCTCTCAGCAAAGCCACCTTTCGGCTGCCTACCCACCGATTTCTTTCCGTCGGTCCCATTCCGAGATTTGTATGTTCGTCTACTCTGATTTTGTGACCTTCTTGTTGAAGTTTTCAAGTATGTTCGTGTGTTAACTGATACGTAGTCGGATTATTGTAATGGTTGTCGTTGCTCTTGTTTTGTTAGAATTGGGTATAGTCTTGATCGAGAAACGGAGATGATGTTTGTGAGTTTATAGGGTAAATGGGTCAGGATGGGGTGCTTTGCAAGTGTTTGATGAATGACCCAGTTCTCCAATTTGCGAATAGACGTGCAATTTTGGACCTTTTTTCATGCTGGTGTGGAACTGTTGCTGTTTCCAAATCGTAATACGTGGGTGACTGAAGATGATTGCTGTAGTTAAGCTCTTAACGGTTGTCTCTCTTTTTCCCCTGCAAACACTTGCTAAAATGTTGAAAGCATTTATCAATTTTCTCATTGGCTTTTTCTTATGGGAATAGGCTAGCACGTTGGTTATAGCCGAACACGAAGGCGGTTCTATCAAGGCGCCATCACTGAGTGCAGTCGAGGCGGCAAAGTCTCTGGACAAGGACAATTCAATTTCGATGCTGTTGGCTGGCTCGGGTCCTTCCTTACAAGAAGCAGCTGCCCATGCTGTCTCGTGTCATCCTTCGGTTTCTAAGGTGGTACCTACTTTTCTTTTGTTCTAGTTTCTCTCTTCATTGATAGCGCATACAATAAAAAGAGATAAAATGTCTGTCTTTCATGTGTCTTGCTTCTCTGAATTTTACTCGGACTGAATATGGATAAATCTATCCTTATCTTTGGCACTATCCAATGTTGGATAGGAGGCATCAAAATGCTATTCTGCAGTTATAGCCTATTTAATTATCTATACCATGTTTTCTCCATGGCAAAAAAGCTAAGAAAAATTAACTGCCTATACTGATATAACAGCAGTCTAATTCTGCATCTGTGCTTCTTACACTGCAGGACAACCTACAGATATCGACTAATTATCTGATTATTTCATGGTGATTTCTACTCTGTAGGTACTTGTTGCTGATTCAGATAAATTTATGCATCCTCTTGCAGAACCTTGGGCAAGACTGATCCAGCTGGTTCAGCAGAGAGAGAATTTCTCGCATATAGTTGCTGCCTCTGGTTCATTTGGGAAGAATATACTCCCTCGAGCTGCTGCCCTCTTAGATGTCTCTCCAGTGACTGATGTTGTAGAAATTTCAGAATCAACAAAGTTTGTTAGGTACCATGGAGTTCCTGACATATTGGAAAAAGCTTCATCTTTTGGTGTACAATTCAGGACGTTTATTTATTCCATCCTAAGAAAGCCCATTTATTGACTTAATTGTGTCAAGCTCCATACATACTGAAGATATTACTGGATTCAAATTGGTTGATGAACATAAGTTTATAAAAGCATAATATGCATCAGTTGTAGAACTATAGTGACAGCGACACGTTATTCACTCTATCACATTTTTTATTCTTTAGAGATCTAATATAATGATAAATGTGCTGGATTACTGCTGGTGTTCTGAAGCTCTAATACTGTCTTATTTTCTATCTGGCAGGCCCATTTATGCTGGAAATGCACTATGTACAGTTCGATATACTGGTGCTCACCCTTGTATGTTGACCATCAGATCCACATCATTTCAGGTGCAACCTGATTCCACAGAGACAAAGGCTCACAATGCTCCTATTTCTCAGGTTGATCTCTCAACCTTTGAGGCAGGTCTGTTTGCTTTTTCTACTGCATAGAATTAAGCTCTCTTTATTGATAGGATCTACTTAATCTTGACCAATACAGTTATACCCCAATAAAATGGACAGAAATCTTCAGTATTCTTTGTATTTCTGCATCCCCCGCTGTTGTTCACTGTACTCTGCAGTGCCGTCTTTACCTGAAGCATGCATATCATGGGAAATATAAAGACATGTGACATTTAAAAATCAGAGAAGAAAAAGTGCTTACTTCATACTCCTTTTAACAGATACAATTGGTAAATCTCAATATGTGAAACTGACATCCCAAGAGAGTGAACGCCCTGATCTTGGTAATGCACGGATTGTGGTCACCGGCGGTCGAGGACTGAAAAGTGCCGAAAACTTCAAAATGTTAGAGAAGCTAGCAGAAAAGCTTGGTGCAGCAGGTTGGTCCTTAATTTATGGTCTTCTTTTAAAGGCTAATGTTTCTTCGTAATTGCATTGCTATTTCTTCCATCCCACTATCCTGGCAGAAAGTAAAAGCCAAAAACTTTCCGTTTTCATCTATAGAAACTAGAGTTATTTTCTGCTCTCAGAATAAATTGCAATATGGCATGGCCCATAATGGTTTCCAGCCCTGCCTTTGAAGTGATGTGTTCATGGTGCGAGATATGATACTGCTCATCACTCTTACTTCTGAATAACTTGAGTTCATGTCTTTATGAGAAGGGATTGGTTACATTGATGCGTTTTTGCCTTTTCTAGTGGGTGCTACACGTGCTGCTGTTGATGCGGGGTTTGTTCCAAACGACCTCCAGGTAACATCTCTAGTCATCCTTGATAGCTTGGTTTGGTATGTGAACTTATTATCACTGCGTGGTTTTGTCCATGAAAATCCATTTGTTCTCTACCTGAGTGTTGTTTCAGCTTGTCTCTGAGACTAGGATCCCATTCTAAATCTTGATACTGTATAATGGAGCCATCCATCTTGTCTAAGTACAAATCCTAAAAGAAATTGGTGAAAGCCATGTATCAATATGAAGTGCTACACAGTGCAATGAAAAGATTGCAGGTTATTAGTTTTCTCTGCTCACTTTGCTGTTCACTACACCAAATCACGCTTGATCTAAAAGTACTTCACGCACTAATATTTAGTGTTACATTTTGCTTTTTACACGAAAATGTAAATATCAGGTTGGTCATTTTCAGCGTACCACTAAATGGTGCAGCTGTAGCCTGTAGCTGGTTGCGTAAGGGTTAGATTAATCGGGGTATGGCCTTACATTATGACTGACTTTGCTCTCAGGTTGGTCAAACTGGAAAAATTGTTGCCCCAGAATTATACCTGGCTTTTGGTGTTTCTGGAGCCATCCAACACCTTGCAGGCATGAGAGATTCCAAGGTCATAGTCGCTGTAAATAAAGATGCAGATGCTCCTATTTTTCAGGTGAAATCTCTCTCTGTCTATCTCTAGAGTACCTAATTGGCACAGAATTCAAGGATGCTGGCCTTGGATTTATTCTGAATGCATATAGTTATAAATTCTCTTGATTGAAGGATAGATATCATTTCTACCTCCGATATTTTAAAGGAATTCTTCTTCGGCATAACATTTTATTCGACAGAATTCTTGTGAATAGCTAACACTGAAAAAGTAAATCTGCTCGTTATACTAGTAGAGCTCAATATTTATACCTTGAGAAAATTAACCTGTGAAGGGAGCTTCTTGAGAAGTGACTTCTCCTCAAACATCCCATGCTTAACTGGAATGATGAACTGCAGGTTGCTGATTACGGGCTTGTCGGCAATCTTTTTGAGGTTATACCAGAGTTGCTAGAGAAGCTTCCTGAGAAGAAATAGACCATTGTAGATAGAGTAATAAAAAAAAAAATGGGATGTCATGTAAAGTTAAAATTTGGAAAAGGTCATTGGAGTAAAGTGAACTCCATCTCTCTGCAAATTATTCAGCTTCTCTGCTTTTCATTTCAGTACTATTGAAATGTTCTCTAAATGTTCTTAATGTTTTAGCATATGACGTTGGTTCACCAAAATTTGAAAAATGTCATTGTGGGAAAACATCTATTCCTCGACCCTTTCTCGTCGGTGTTTGACACAGTCCAAAATGAGTACACCGAAGCTCATATGCATTTTTTGGAACTCATAAGAGTTTCAAAGTAACTGCATACCAGTCGTCCAATACGCTACTTCAATCAATTGCTCAAATATCATCATCATCTGCATGCTAGACATCACCACCGACACCATCGCCATCAACTCTAGCACTGTTTTTGACAGCTACCGCCATCATTAATCAACTCTTGCACTCTAGCTTCTAGCAACCTGGATTTGGTGTGCTGATTGATCAATTGAACCCCTCAGTCAATTTCATTAGAAGAGAAACATACTGTGCGCACCCAAAATGAACTGTGGTTTTCGAAATTGTTACCAACACATTAAGAGAACCATCTTGATATTCTTTTGCATACATTCAATCTATCCAGAAAACTAAACGATCCATGTAATCTAATTTACCTCATGCATTATTGTGGAGGAGCTAGTGATGCGAGAACACATCTTTATCAGTCATGTGAATGGAACTAGAGAATGTCAATTGACACTGAAACGGACCAAGATACTTCTTTCAAAACAAATTATTCTTTCGCACCATATGTTTGGATTATTACGCTAGCTGTCTCTAAGAACTAGTTTATAGGTTGTGGTGGTTGTGCCGGTAGATAACATCCTCTCTATCCAATTTGACACACTATCGTTCGGAATCAAACGTTTCTCGTGTGTCATAATGATTCTGCCTTGTGAGGAGGGACAATGCATATGGTGACGACAATGGCTTCGTTGCATTTCATGCAGAATATATGCAGCTGGCATTAGGTTCACACAACACCCTTTCTTCTACCTTCCATAATTATTGAGTTTGGTGACTCATTTTAAACAAATTCATCAAATGTGTTCATCATATTATAAATTATATTACGGAGTACATTAGAATATGAGGTAGCGATTCAGCTCCCTTATCAGCTTAGCTTGTAAAGTGAGTACTTTTCATACGCTTAGACATAATTATACACCTAGACTAAGTACAATAACCCGACGACTGATCATGCAATAATCACCCGCATGCTTAAGAGCCTCCTCAAACTTTTGTGCTTTTGAAATGCGTGCCATTACTTTACTTTTTGCCTCTAGCTAGCATTTTTTGTGTTAATTTGGGGATTCAGATGAATTCGTAAGGTTAGAGTTGGTTTCCATCTAGAAAATACAAGAACATGGTAATGCCTCCTTATCCAATATCTGCAGCTTATCATCACTTTGACATCTTTGTTAAAACATAAAATACTGTACAAGACTACTTCACATTCAAGAAAATCCCTGTATAACCGTTTACATGGTTTGCGCAAGTGTCATTGCTGAAGTAAGAATGGCATCAGTATACTAGTATAGGCCTATTTGCATGAGGGTTCTTCTCCCAACCGATGGTGGATTGAGAGGGTTGGTGGTAGCAGTCGCCCCTCGATCGCTAGATGTTCACTAAAATATACCTTACCTTTTTAGTAAGGAAAAGGTAAGCATGGTTTCTCATCATGCCCTCTTATAACCCTAATCTTGCATACGCCACTGCTCTAATTTTCTAACAAACCTCCAATATCATAATTATTTGCTGTACGTAGATAGGTCCGGTTTAGCTTTTATTCCAGATGAAAGTTCGTAAATCCACAATGCTTTAGGGTCATTAGAAAAGTCCTACAAACATATATGCTGCTAAGTTCTAACCGCAGCTAACAACAAAGGAGGTTGAATTTGCTAAGAATAATGAGGAAAACGAGGGTGAAGAAGTCAAAGCCCACAAGGTCCCGAGGGACGAGAAGAATTCAAAAGATTTGTTGAAGAAAAGAAATTTAGTGACAAGAAATTTCATTCAGAAGATAACTAGGGTAAGCAACCTCTTGGGTGGTTATGTGACAATGACAGAATTTGGTATATACCTCTCAAACAACTGAAACAAAGACTTTTTAGTACCACTTGCGCTTTCAGCAGGAAATGAAAACCTAGGATGTGATTCGAGATGAGATTGTTACTAGATAAAGTGACGAACTTCATCGAAGACCCGGCAATTATACCGAGGATTAATGATAGCCAACAAGACTTTCCAGCAAATGCTTGACAATATCCGTCTACTTTTCTGAAGTAAAGTGAATGAGGGGACCATTTAGATAGGATTTGCATTACTTGTTTAGGTATACAGCAATGCCGGCCGAAATATGCATTAATTAATTCCCTTTTGCTTGCTTTGACATATAGAGTGCAAAACCTAATGGTGTCACTGTATGGGTGCATCAAATCGGTCCCTCTTAGCTTGTGCATGCATAATGACATCAAAAAGAAGGATGTGTTCAATGCATCTTGAAAGGAATAAGAAGCTAATGACCAGTATAACTCAGCATAATCCATATACAAGAAGTGCTATTGAACCACATGGTAGTTTATCATTTACAGCTATTTATGAATTTGTGATAGCATATCATCAATCTCGGTACTTCACCATCATGGACAACGGAACCAAGCAAAGACCTCTTTTCTTCAGCTCCGAAAAATTACTGCTGCCTCTTCCAACAAAGCCTAAATCAATACTAATCTCATCTCTTTGGCCTGAAGTAGTTGCATCATCCTGTCAAACGGAAGGATTAGAACCTGTGTGTGTTACGTGAGTAGGAGCAATTAAATCATTTTCTCCATCAAGAAACTATGAAAGCATAACAATGGAAAAAGCTGCGTGACTTACCTTAGATAACTTATCTTCTTTCTGTCCTGGGTAGGATTCCATCGTCTTTTGGGTGCCACAAACCTAGACAATTGTTAATAAAACCCATACACCAGTGAGAAGGTATCCCTTCCATCATGACCATGTGAACGAAGTTCGGCGAGCGACAAAAATGAAATTTAGTTAATAAGGATCATCTAACCTTAGGACTATTGACAGGAGAACTAGCTGTATCCTCTAGAGCATCATCGATCAGTCCTTTTCTCATTTTCTTAAAGCTCAATCTCTTACAGCTTCCGGCCTGATCGATCTTGACAGACTTCTTCACGACCGATGTGGCAGCGTCGGAGACTACCGAAGAACTACCATCATAACCCGTAGAGGAGTCATTCTTTTCCTGGCCATTCATCAAGAAATCCACAAAGTAAGGTGTCCAACTACTCTCTTGACCAGAGTCGCTGCTTGATCTCTCGTTGCATGAAAAGTTTTCGCTCTGATAGTTCTTGGAGTCGCCCATTTGTGAAGAAGGGAGGAAGGAACAAAGCGGAAGGAAAGTTGAAGCTGAAGCTCCGCGAATAATGTTGGCATGAATTTTAAGTAGACAAACAAAGCACCTATAAATTAAAGAAAAATTATAGAAAATTCAGAATATGATTTAAGCTTTGGAATATTGGAGTGGACCCCATTGGGGGGTTGTGTCAACTTAGAGAGAGAGAGAGAGAGAGAGAGAGAGGTTTTGACCTAACCAGTTATCTGATTTCATAGAATATATGGACACATCAACAAGATTTTCTAGGCTTTATAGGCGGAATTACCTTCTCACTGAACTGTGTCAAGAGTATTATTTAGTTTTCTTGGGCGATTGGAGTAGGACTTGTTCTTGGTCTCAAGTCTCTCCACATCATCGATAGCTATAGAAGACTTTTCGGTATTTAATACTTTAACGTCACTATAAGCAGCTTAGTTTATTACCATGAAAAAGTTCTGCAATCAAATCTGGTGTCATAATACCACAGGTACAACAAACGATGAGAGTGACTTTTTCCTCTCTGATCATTAAGTTTCGTTCAATGTAACTCAAAGCATTATGAACAGCAACAAGATGTGACCCTCAGATCATATAGCAGGACCACTTCATATGTTTTAAATATATAGATCAACCTAATTATTGAGGATCCAGCAAATCTTAATCTTGTTTTATCCTTTAAAACATTTCAACATATACTAAAACATGCGCCGTGTCTATATCCATCAGCACACATCCATCAGCAGATGAAATAATTAATGTAATGAAGCTGTTGGGACATTTTTTATTAGAAAAGATAGAGGCTATGATGTTGGCCTTTTCTCGCCTTTGTTGTTCAAATGGCTTAGAAAAACTAATGAGCTTCTTATTACAAGTTTCCAAGTGAAGATTGCAAAAACATTTTACAAAAATAAAAGCAGCTTGTATGACGTTTGAATTAACTTTACACCTCATCAGATGCCATATTATTAATTATAAGTCCACTTGGATTATAGAAACACCTAGTCGATGTAAAACTGGTTAAGTTATTATACTAGATGGGGAAAGGCATGATCGTTGTTTGAGCAGTTGATTTTGAAAGCATAAATATGAAAGATACTGTTAAATATCTTATTAGAAAAACCAGGTGAGAGAAGGGGGACTTTGAGAATAATATTTTTCTTATTTCAACTATTTCTCTGCTTGCCTCATTTCGAAACGGCAAAACTGGAGAAATAATCAAGCTTGAGTATCTGGCCTTGGCCCAAATCAATCTCAACAACAAAATAACTCGTTTGCAGCTTAGAACCAAAAATGCAGGATATCAACAAGTATATGAACATAGAATAGATTTAATCAAGATTGTTTACAAAGTTCACGAAAAAAAAAAAAAAAAAGGAAAAAGTCTTCCATGTGAAGCACAAAGGATCCAACAGTGTCCCTGTTGAGGAAATTCAGTGAATAGGACAATCGGTGAGGGGTCATATCCGTCCAATCGTCCCCCCATCGCTTCTCTTTTGCCTTCTTCCACACAGACATTTGAACTGTCATCTTTTGTAGTTTTGTAACTCAGTCTTCCACGTTTCTCAGCTACTTCCTCTGAGCCATTTTTTGCTCAACACCCCATCCCCAAACTCCTATTTTGAACTAAAATACAAAGCACGGAATCATTCTAAATCTAATTATTCATTATTAACCTCATATTGCTTTATGCATTTTTTAGATTGAACTGGTTTAAATACTTTGTTATATGTCAATTATCAACTACCTTAAAGCCATGCTCAATATTGATTCCACATATTGTATCAAGTTGTTCCAGTTAAGATTAAAACGAATAGTGTGTTCTGCATAGCTTTTAGACATTTTTCTATGGTGCTCTCGAAAGATGAAGAAGGTTGTTTAACAAGCATGTCATGAGCATGTAATCATCATTTCGGGTTTGGAAAAGGATTGTCTTCTCAAATCAATAATGATAGGAAAAGAAAGAAAAAAACATGTATGATTATTGAAAATCGCCCTTAAAGGTGAGGCAAGAGTCTTCTGTTTTTGAGGGATCACATGACAAGGATGGAAATTGAATGATTGTGTGAGGAAAATATTTGTCAGAACATAGTGGGTCCAATCTAACAGTGATTCATTGAAAGATTGCTCCAAAACACATAGGTGATATGTATTCTGCATCATGTATTCCAAATGAGAATATTGGTCTTGGTTAGAGAAATGCTTCTTTCAAGAATCATCAATCATCTTCTTATTGTCAAAACAAGAACCCACTTTGAATGCCTCTAGAGCAGGGACTTTGTGCCGCATCGTTGGAGCGTGCACAAATAGTACTGCTTACATCCCTGGTTTCACAGAGGTGGTGGCCATCTAAAACTCTACCTTCGGTGTGTTTGGATCGTTATATGCGCACGGTCTCTGTCGCTAGAGCAACGAGTCGTCTCTTTTCCTTTTCGAATCTTGTGTTCAGTTTCATAGAAACCAATAATAATAAAAATAAAGCACCATCTCATTATCAAAAGGCAATGAGAGAGCACATCAATGAAATGGCCACATGAACGCTAACCACGTGTGCCCTACAGATTTCTTTCACATGCCAGAACATGTGAAGCTTTGCACTTGCGGACAATGACTTCATCACAAAAGGCTTCAATTTTCAACCCTTCAACTTTTGAAGGAGAAAGTAATTGAGGCCATTCAGCTCAACTAACCCTGTTTATTTCATTTTATATTCTCCGATCTTGCAAGAAATTATTCTAAATCCAGCCCAATGGAGCTGAAGATGTAACTACAAATTTCAAACTAATGTTGCCAAGAGGGAGGCAACAAGGTAACAGTCTCAGCTATGCTTGGATGGCTTTAAAGCAAAGCAAAGAAAAGTTTTGGCGCACAGAAAGAGTGCAGAAATGTTTTAATAAAAGCCATCTAGCCCAACATAGGACTAACATTATTGTATAAGTTCAATTCACATGTACCCATGTTGGCTATGCAAAACAATTACTGATTGGAAAGACCTGTCATACATCAAGAACCAAAAGTTGGTCCCCTGTTTGGAAGGATCAAAAAGCCTAGTACATACCTTCGCTTTCATGCCTATCAGTCTGACATTTTAATTTTCATCAGTAGTGAATACAACAAAGCTGATATCTAAGGCACCGCGAAGTGATCTTGCTGCTTCTTAAGTGTAAGCAAATGAAGATGTTAAGATCTTTCTAATGTTCAGGTCTTTCATATGCAATACATGGCCAAAGGTCCAGAGAAAAGGTAGGCTTACATTGAGCTGGGCCTAAATAGTTGCGCGCTGCTTCTGGTCCTCTTGGTCCGTTTACTGCATATATATTGAAGTCATGGCAAAAGGAAGGTGTCACTCATTAGCCCTATCTTGGTTTTTTCTGCATATTTATAGCGGTACTGAGAATTGTATTTGGAAGCACGGTTTTGAATCGAGATCCTACTTGTTTTTTTTTTCTTATGAAGGAAGATTCGACCTTGTGTCCGATTGGCACGGTGAAGTAACTGACCTGTATGTTTAAGTGACACCCATAACAGGTTTTTCCTGTAAGATACAGGACATACACGTCGAATCTGCTGAAGATTGATTCCTTGGATCATAAAAAATGTGCCTTGAGATGCTACTTATTTTACATTTCTTATCTGGTAACGACTAAAACTGACCTCATGAAAGTCACTATTCATCAGCAGTTTCTAGGGCACAATTTTCAGGGGCAAATCGGATCACGCCTTGATTAAGATCATACACGACCCTCATATCCTGCTGCTGAAATGCCCCAACTATAGTCTTCGTATACGATGCTAATGCCACGCACAAGAATCCCCCGCTTTCATAGATGAAATACATATATGCTGGCTCAACAACATAATCGGCCCCCCAAAAGTGGAATGTCATCGAGGTATAAGCACGGAACTTGGGGTTGTACTCATAGCAAAACCTCAATTCTCGGGACTTGTTGTAGACCCTTTTGACACCAAAGGAGAAAAAATGTTCGTCAAATTCATGCAAGATGGGATCATAAGCGTCCTCTTGCAAAAAAGTGACCATGGCACCACTGTCTATGACACATCCGCCGCTTCCGTCGCTCTTCACGTCAAATTTTCCAGGAGGAAACCCGAGTCTCCGTTCTCCCACGCTGATATCCATCAAATCCAAATAATAATTCCAGGATATATTCTGCTGAGATAGAGGGGTCGATTTAATGTCTCTCCGCGGTGGCAACGTGGTGTCCTACCCGAACCTTAGAACACTAGTAGCTGTCATTTCGCAGTAAGTGTAAACCAAGCAATAAGAGAAAACCTTCCTGATTTGATCAGATAGTTGAGACACTAGAGACTCCGGGGCTCAGCTCAAGCCCATGATTCCCGAAATATTACGGTTCTCAAATGTGAAGCCTCTGTTATCCGACGAGCACCCGAATATGACTCCCGGGAGGGTCAAAACGCGCCCTATGCCATAAGGAAAAGTGAACGTCTCCGAGGAGATCACGCCCTTAGTGCTGGCCCCACCGCCGTACTCATACCAATAGACGCATTGCCCCTGTATGCACTGGAAGCGTGAACGGCAAAGCCAGTGATCGCAGGGGAGTTTCTGGAAGGAACTGGACGAGTCCGGGGTGTAGATGGGGATTTTTTGGTGGAAGCAATTTTTGCAAGACTGGCATTGTGTCCAAGTGAGGCCACTTCCGGTGTCCATCAGCATGAGTGGTGGCTGGGGTTCCGAGCTGAAGCTCCACGGCATAAAAGTGGCTGTCCTTGAGGGGGAGTGTGGTCGTGAGCTATTTTAGCCTATTAGTTAGGCATTTTTATTGTATAGATTTCTTCCTAGTATAGAATCCTTCCTATTGTATATCTCCTAATTAGGGTTGTCATATGTCCTATATATACATTATAAATGTACAGAAAACATATTCATTGAATAGAAAAAGGAGAGTCTTTTTCTACAGGACTTTGAGGTTGATGTTATTTAGGTCTTCAGTGGAGCTTTTGTTTGAGAGCGCATTTATGTAGTGAGCTCTAGAGACGGAGAGTTCGACTGCCATGTCGAGTTTTTCTTCCCAGGTGAGGTTGCCTGGGTACAGAGGCGACTTTGGAGAGAACCTGAGCTTCAGGCTGAACCCTCTGCGTGTCAAATGAGCATAAAAGAGCAAGTTTTGGAAGATGAGGAAATGAAAGAGGAGATGGAGTAACCCACCCATCGGTGGCCGCGTTGGTTTGCGCTCAATTTCTTTCAGGAGAGGTCTTGAGTTCAAACTCGCCCATCGGTGATTTAAGTGGGAGGTCGTGGCGGTGGAATTCTACGCTCGCTCCCCTCGAGGACTAGTCGGGCATCACCGCTGGTTTGAGCCTAGCTCGCCGGCCGCGCGGACACCTCGGTTATAAAAAAAAAAAAAAAAAGAGGAGATGGAGTAATGACAAGACTTTGGCCATTGTTTCAGGAACGACAATAAACTTGCTGAGGCATCCTGACCACTCAAGACATTTATAGGCAAGGCCTTTTCAAACTCCAACTCAGATGTCACAGCATAATCAAGTTAGAATTCATATCTTGAATCAAAACCAGGACTTGGGACACATTCTGAGAAACAGGTTGTGTGGTTGTTTGAGCACTGTCAAGAGTGAGCCTCATCAAGTGGAAAAATGTTTTTGCCAAGAATAGAAAACTACACCATCATAATAACTCTGGCTTTAAGACTGTTCAAAACAGATTTTCGATTTCAAGGGAGCGATTTCTGCATAACTATGATTAGATATTCTCTTCATTAGTTGTATTAATAGCATAATCAAGTTAGAATTCATATCTTGAATCAAAACCAGGACTTCGGACACATTCTCGGAAACAGGTTGTGTGGTTGTTTGAGCACTGTCAAGAGTGTGATGAGTGTGAGCCTCATCTAGTGAAAAAATGTTTTTGCCAAGAATAGAAAACTACACCATCATAATAACTCTGGCTTTAAGACTGTTCAAAACAGATTTTCGATTTCAGGGGAGCGATTTCTGCATAACTATGATTAGATATTCTCTTCATTAGTTGTATTAATGTGGGGGTTTATTACTCTAAAGGAGGTCATTCCACGTCTTGAAGTCTCTGATTGGTGTAATAAAGCATTGAGTTTGACTAAAGCATAACAGCAAAATATATCCTCTTGCTAGGAAGAGCTTAAAAACTTCCAAGAAATGCATCAGTGAGTAGTAAAACGTTGTCTTTCTTCGCAGATGCCATCGTATGCGAAGCTTTGCACTTGCAGACAAATGACTCGGCAAAAGCAGCTTCGATTTCTCAACCCTTCAACTATTAAACTTATTTTGTTCTTTCAAGAAGTGACTTTCATCTGAAATGGTATTAAACTGCATTCTTGTAGTGCTGTAAAAGAAAGAAAATCTCCAGAGAGAAGATTGTAGCATAGCAACATATTTCATTGCAGTGATATGCCACCTGATAACACTGGAAGAAGCAGCACAGAAGTTCCTCGTTGCTGTTTTATGAATTAACAAAAACAATTGGACAAACTCGTACTTCAAGTATAATATTCTGGCCAAAATAAGGGCAACAGAGTTAAGTGTGAGCTCTCAATGAGTAATATAGTCCAGGAACTTTGTCTAATATGGTCTCTGAACTTTAGCCCAATGTGCAATATGATTCATGAACTTTCAATTTGTTCAATGTGATCCCTGAACTTTTGATATATGTTCAACTCAGTTCCTGAATTATATTAAATTATTCAATATTGTCCTTTCAATAATTCAAGTTTGGGACTACATTGAACATTTTAATATAATTTAAGGACTAAGTTGAATATTTACCAAAAGTTCAGGGATCATATTAAACAAATAAAAAGTTTAGGGACTACGTTGCATATTGGGCTACAGTTCATGAACCATATTAAATAATTTAAAAGTTCAGGAACCACATTACATATTGAATTAAAGTTCAAAGATTATTTGTGTCATTTTTTCTTAATTGTATGGGCCTTTTTTTTTCTGCCAAGTATTCCAGAAGTGTACTTTTGGTGCACATGAAAGAGTGCAGAAATCTCCTGTTTTGTTGAAAGCCTGAAGAAGATGCAGGATAAGGTTCTCTCATCCATCTTATCAATCTGCATCTCCATTTAATTTAGTTATTTGACAATTCCAGGATTTAGAGCATATACTGTTGTTTATTTTTGTTGCTTGGAGTTATTTTATTGGGAGTGAATAGGTTTGCCTATAAATATAGGTTGAGAAAAGAATTTTGCAAGTATGGTTGTTTGATTATTGAATATTGCCTATTTGGCGTTTCTTCTTCCCAACTGGATTGGTGTTTCTTTCTACTTCCCCTCTCTCTCTCATTTATTTCCTTCTCTATTTTGTTATATGAGGCTCTTAGAAAAAAAATTTCCTAAAAATAATCAATTGTATTGCTTGAAATAATTATTTAATAAAAATATTTAATTTTCAATAAAATTTATGTTTAAAAAATTTTGTGAACGATAAAAAAATTTCGTTTATTCGTTTTTATAAATGATATAAGTGATTTTATTTAGGAAATATATTTTCACCTGAGTTTCGTTCCCTTTTATGTTTCTAAGCCTATCTTGACACACGAGTTTGTGCATCGTCAATCGGTATAGGAGCCTCGTTTGGCGAGTGTCCTACCACTAGGAGGCAATTTTGGATCACAAGCCAAACCTAGAGTATTAATTTTGGTTGCAAAATCAATGTTGGTGCTAATTGAAAAGGGCAACATGCTAATTCACTCCAGCAGCATGCGAAAGCTGGAGTACTCAATAACTTAAATATTTTCAAAAATATTTCAAGATTGGATCAATGTTGCATTGTCCTAGACTTAAAAGTTGGTGCTAATTGCTCCTTAACATCTACTATAAATATGATCACCTCTAGGGGTGATTGGTTCCCGGTTCCCAATTTTGAGAACCGGGGACCGGACCGATTGGACCTAGGATTGGGAACCGAACTACACCGATGGTCCGGTCCAATGGAACCGGTCACTTTTTTATTTTATTTTTCCCACCATAACAAAAGAGGATGACAAATCTTAACATATTAACAAAAGTGACATGAGTGAAAAGTTATCGTGTTGCGACAATAAGGGGAAAGCGTTATACGTGAGTTGAGTTCACATTTTACTATTTTTTTGAAGAAATAAAAAAAAAGTATATATTATCGCTCCAGTTCCCCATTTGAACCGGGAATCGGACCACCTGGACACCGATTCCACTTTTAGGAATCGGGAACCGAACCAACACTCCTGATAACAAGACCAAATTGGCCAGTCCAGGCGATTCGTTTTGCATACCCCTAATCACCTCACAGTTTAGGCCAAATGATTACCTTTCTTAGTCGAGAAGTGGCAAATCACTCGAGCAAAAGAACGAGTCGCTTCAACTCAATGTCAAATTTATAGAAACTGATAACTCATCACTCTTCAAATTCCACAAAAGAACATCCTTCATCGGCGGCATAAAAGTTTATATCTAGAATATATTGTGGAATTCTAATCCTCTAATTAATGTCGGCTTAAGATCACATTTTATCACAAGGTGGGAAAATTGTCCAAAAAGTCCTAAACCTTTTGCACTTTAACCAATTTAGTCCTAAACTTTTCAATTTGTCAATTGAGTTTTAAACCTTTTGACAGTTTGACAATTGACTCCATCTAGCTAATTTTGGTGGGAAATCGTTATGTGAACGCTGGTCGTCTTACGTGACACCGCAGATGCTAATATCATTAATTTTTTGTAATTTTAAATTTTTTTTGTATTTTGTATTTTTATTTTCCTTTTTTTTCTTTGCTTTTTTTTTTTGTGCCGACGAGGGTTTTTGGCGACCCTCGCCAACTGCAAAGCCCTCGCCTAGACTAGGTGAGGGTTCCTCGGCCGCTGCAAGCGACACCATGAAGGCCCTAGGGGAGGCCATTGAAGCCTCACCCGTGGCTGGTGAGGCAACAATGGCCCTAGGCAAAGCCTTTGATGCGCAAAAAAAAAAGGCAAAGAAAAAAAGGAAAATAAAAATTTTAAAATTTTAAAAAGGTACAAAAAGTGTCCACGGCAGCGCCAACGGTATCATGTGTGACGACCGGCGTCAACGTTAGCGATTTCCAATCAAAATTGGCCGAATAAACTCAATTGGCAAATTGTTAAAAGGTTTATAACTCAATTGTCAAAATTGAAAGGTTTATGACTGAATTAACTAAGGTGCAATAAGTTTAATACTTTTTGGACAATTTTCCCGTGGCAAGTAATAAGTTGTGCCGAGTTACCGAGAGAAAATAACAAATAAGAAGCCAGGATTTGATCCTTAATTTGATGTTAATACCATGTTACTGAGTTGATGGATGATACAATTAATTAATTAAGAAGCTCATGCGCACAATATAAGATATCTTATCTTTGTATATACAAAGTTTAACATTTGCGTCTATATCAAGCAGGTGCTGACCAATCGGATGACGCGATGAATGCTTTTAAGACCATATGATATATATAGTTATTCCTTTTTGTAAGATAATATATGTTTATTTTTTTGAATAATAAGACAAAAATGTATAGTTAGCTTACTGATGATCGAATCTATGGAGTTTGGAATATGCCAGCGAAGGTGCTGAGGAGGCGTGCTTCACCAAGTTCGAATCGAGTTGACAACCAGAGAATGTGAGTTTTCTGTTTGGAGCCGAATCAATTTTAATTTACGCCAGATTACATTTGAAATTAAGTCAATTAGTCAACGATGAAATGACTAATTAGGGATTAGGTGGTAACCACCCTTCGTGGGATAGCCCAAGTCAAACGTGTGTCATGTTCCCTTGTAAGTTGCACCCAATCTCGTTTTTCTTGTCTGAATGAATGGAGGCCAATGGGGTCCCAATGTAAGAACCAAAGTCTTTTGAATTAAGTTTAGACTTCATTACACTAGCATTTGGAACATGTTTGTTGCATAATGGTTGGTCATGTTGCAATCTCGACATTCTTGTCCCACGTCGAGTCTCGTGGTTTAAATTCCGATATACAGTTTGACGCTTTCTCGGTTTTTATCCTTTAGGGTTCGTGGGAATCTTGATTTGATGTGGCGATACCCTCGAAGATGTGGCGTGATCTTAAGAGCAAGACAGTAGATGGGTACACCATGAGAGCTGGCGGATCTGCATCATTACTTAAATGCAATTACAAGCAATGATGATATCTATCACTTAAGTTTTAAATTGTTAAAAATCCACGATCTTGAGAAGGCCATGTCATTGAAACGCGAATTCCTCACGTTTCCTCGCAATACCAATACATGTACCTTTTTTTTGGTCCCTACCAATACATGTACTTATTATCTTCTTAGCAATATATTTCTAAATAATAATTTAAATTCGATAAAAAGTCACAAAAAAATTGATTAAGCAAATAGCGGAATTTTAAGCATGAACATTAAATATATTTAATAGACAAGCAATCACTTTAATATTATTTTTTTTTTGTAATACATATAAATTTTGTTTTAATATAATTTTTTCAAATGGTAGTATCTGGTTAGGTAAATAATAGGAAATTAATAGAATGAAGTGTGTGTGACAGAGAACAATAAAGATGATAGAACATGAACAAAAAATCATCCATGAGGTCATATCGCTCTTTCACTATTTCCACACCATTCACTTTAGGGTTAACACTACGAAAAACTTCAAATTGGTATACTTGTAATAAATTTATCCTAAACTAATTTTTTGACCACCAAAAATCCCAAACTGGTACATCTGTAATAATTTTACCCTTTGTTAGTTTCCGTTAAATTTTACCGTTAAATTTCTGAGTTGGATGACATTTGTCAGTTGACAGGTGTACCGGTTTGGGGTTTTACCCTCCGTTTATCAAAGGTGTACCAATTTGTGATTTTTTCTAGGTATTAATCCAATTTAATTAAGGGTAAATTTATCACAAATGTACATGTTTGGGGTTTTCAGTGGTCAAAAAATTATTTTGGGATAAAATTATCATGAGTATACCAATTTTGGGATTTTTTATGATAAAAAAATAAATTTGAGTTAAATTTGTTACATGTGTAACAGTTTAGGCTTTTTGTGGTGTTAACCCTTCACTTTAATATATAAAATTAAAATTATATAAAAATTGGACATGTAAAGTGACTTTGAATATTTTTCAAAATTTTCTAAAACCTGAACTTTTTTTCAAATGTAACAAAAAAAAAATACTAAGAATCGACAAATAGACTCTGCGTTGATGAAATACCCTAAGTTAACATAAGTTGAAGCCTTAAATAACATTTATTCGATTCCCGATGTATTTTTTTATTAATGCAACGGTTCTATTATTACCAGGAAAAGACATTGATTCGACATTAATGGATGAAAATGCGAATCTATAGGTTCCACATCATCATTAGGTTTCTCTTTTCAAAGCAGCATATCCGATTATTCTATTGACTCTCCACTGCGAATTTTCAATTTCCGTAAGCGCTGAAAAATCCTCTGGTCAACCTTGCAACAATTGTTGAACAAGGAACTTAGCAACAATCAAAGAGAGAATATAGATTCTAGAGGTATAATTTGTCCTATTAACAAGTGCTACGAGCTTGTGAAGAAGATTGTCCCGTTAATCTGATTTTGTTAATGAGCACTCCCACGACATTGATTAACAATACTTCCTTTCAATGTATTGATCGTGCTATCAAGAGAGAAACAATGTTTATTACTAAAGAAAATAATGTTTTGAAAAAAATGACAAAATTTCGTTAGTTGGATGTTAGCAATGCACCTAAGACATTCATTAATAAAATATTTATTCTGATCGAATTGCTCAACTAATTTGGCAATTTCCATTTCCAGCGCATAGCGCTTTGTCACTATCCAATCTCAGCCTATGGCCGATATGTTCAAGTATCTATTCATCGTACGTGTCAGCAATCTTAATGTATAAATGAGCTTTCTTTTCGAACAATTAACCTCAAAAGAAGCATGAACAAAAATATACTTTTACTAGACATTACCAACAATTTTTTTTAAGGAGGACCAGACCATCTCAACGACTTTGCATGTCCATCGAGCTTGTATATTTGTCAAATAAATTGACTAACACGCAACTCGATTTTATTAGCAAAAAGAATAACATATATATCTTTTCTTCATTTTTTTCTTTTCTCGAGATCAAAAATTGAATCCTAAGCGGACAGGTCCAATGCCATCCATCCAAGATTGTCACTGGGACCGACCATCCAAATTAGATACTCAGGCAATTCATGAGTATACTAATTTGAGGAAATAACAACATAAGAATTCGAAAAATTTTCTTCGGGAGAGCGACGTGGCATCACCTCATTGGCAAGTTGGACACAATCGATGAGAGATACAGCGTAGGGCAGCTAAAACCAAGTCCTTTTCTTTTTACCCCCAGAAGGCGCCTTTTTCTCTTACGGAAAAGGTGGTGGTGTGGCGCTCTAAAAAAAAGTGGTACCACTTCACGAGTTCACATGACCAGTTGAAGATCGCGGGGCTCGATTTGTGCTGAGATTTCAGCGACGAAAATTAAGCAAGACCAGCACAACCCCACCCTCTCTTGCTTTGCAAATTCCAACCCCAGCTGTGAGTCTCTCTCTCTGTCTCTGTCTATTTATTTGCACCAACCGTCGTCACCAAACACTCCAGAAGACCCCCCTTCTCTTTCTTCAAGGCGTGATCTTTCCCGTCATTCGTCGCGGAGATCACCGTATTTTCTAGCCTTTTTCTGCGGGTTTCTTTCTTGGGTCTCGCTCCTTCGGCGTAGCAGAGTGTGAAGATCTCCGGGTCTTCGAGCTCTGCGTCAGTCAGCGATCCCACGATTATAAAAACCCAGTCTTGACGCCCGAAAACCAGAGTTTCTTGATCCTCGAGAGACGAGAAGTCCCAAGACCCATCTCCGATCTGCTCTTCCTCTGGGCTTATTTGTTCGTTTGAGGGCACCCCAGAGACCCAAGTTTGTATCTTGGCTTGAAGATGATTTGTTCGGTGAGGCAGTCTTTAAGCCCAGTTATTGGCTCCGAGGCTTTTCTCGGCAAGAAGCGCGTCTTTCCCTCGAGCAGATCCTCCCTCCTGCCGCCCCTGCGAACCCAGAAGTCCTCACGCGCCGTCGTCTCGCTCTCTCGACCGCTTCACGTAGCGTCGGTCGAGGCCTTCGGATCGTCGCCGAGGAAGCAAGAGAAGGACTTGATAAAATGCGAGGCGTACGAGGCGGACCAGTCGAAGCCGGTCGAGGCAGCGGCCGGATCGGGGGTGGCGCAGAAGGCCAAGATCGGGGTTTACTTCGCGACGTGGTGGGCTTTGAACGTGGTGTTCAATATCTACAACAAGAAGGTGCTGAATGCTTTCCCCTACCCTTGGTTGACCTCCACGCTCTCGCTTGCATGTGGGTCTCTCATGATGTTGATCTCCTGGGGCATGAGGATCGCCGAGACTCCGAAGACTGATTTCGAGTTCTGGAAGACTTTGTTTCCTGTAAGTTTCGGGTTTTTGTTTTCGTTTGGTTGATGAGAATGAGAAGGTAAAGAGTACAAGCAAGAAAATTGAATTAGGGGGTCAACAATTAAGCCTTTTTCGGTTGAAATGCTTTGTTTTGTTTCTGTGCATGTTGTGAATTTCACTATGCATGTTTTTGGTTGATCGAGGATACGAGAAGAATAAAAATGAAATTGGAATAAGAGGAGGAGGAAAGTGATGTTTTAGAGTCGATTTTGTTGTTTTTCAGAGAGGAAATTTGTAGGATTAGCACGAGTGGACAGTGAGTGAAGATAGTTTGTCGTCTGGTGCAAAAAGCAAACATGCGGTTTGGTATTTAGATCGCTGTGCTTTTCATTGAACCGAATTAAATTGATTTGTTGTTTTCTGGGATGTGAGTTTACTCGATAAACTTGTTTCGGTTGTAATTTAGGATGCTGATTTTCTATGTGTATACAAGGTTGCTCTGGCACATACAATTGGGCATGTTGCAGCAACTGTGAGCATGTCAAAGGTTGCAGTGTCGTTCACCCACATCATCAAGAGTGGCGAGCCTGCGTTTAGTGTGTTGGTCTCAAGGCTCCTCTTGGGCGAAACATTTCCAGTGTCTGTTTATTTGTCCCTCCTGCCAATTATTGGTGGTTGCGCCCTCGCTGCCGTGACTGAGCTCAACTTTAACATGACTGGTAAACTTAGTTTTTCTTATCGTAGATTTCATCACATGTCAGTGTTGATACGATACATTATCCTTTTAAGTTGCCTTTCTTTAGAAGCTACAATCACCATGGGGTCTTAAAAGCTTTAAACTTGCAAAGTATGCTCAACTTGAGCACTCAATTGGGCATAGGTGGTGCAATTTGTGTGGCAGAAACTCTGAAGTGCATAAGTTGCTCTGAACTTTCGGAGAATCTGCACTAGAGCTATCTGAATTCGATTTCTTTACCATTGATTTATATGCAAAATTAGCTAGTTAATTTTACACTGCTTTTGTTTTGACTGAAAAATCAAAGCTATCTTGCTTTGTTTGGTCCGTACATTAGCTTGTTAATTTGGTGAATGTGCTTAAGATATGAGGATTTATTTTGGATCAATATGGTTAGTAGAGGATCATGATTCATCAGAAGCTTGAACATTGCTGTGGGGTCTCTGATTTCAGGTTTCATGGGGGCTATGATATCAAATTTAGCCTTTGTCTTCCGAAACATATTTTCAAAGAAAGGAATGAAGGGCAAGTCTGTTAGGGGAATGAATTACTATGCGTGCCTGTCGATGCTGTCTCTCCTAATTCTCACTCCATTTGCCATTGCTGTGGAGGGACCACAGATGTGGGCAGTAGGTTGGCAGAAGGCCCTCGCAGACATTGGACCCAATTTCGTCTGGTAAGCACTTGATACTACCAACTCTCGTCTTGTATAGTTTTCTTATAATTGGGCTTTTACCTAATTAAAGTAGCCAGAGGTGTGTTATTTTCCTTAATGAATGAAGAAATTCTGGAAAGTGATGCTTTTCACCAAGTTGGGACCTTCCTAGAACTCATGATGTTTGATGCATGTGCCTTCCTCTGTTTATGGTTTTTGTCTGTGAAGTGGACTTCGATGGTAAAAGTTTGTTGTTACGAAAGTGTTTGCCATAGTTTCTGGTTATGCTGATGAATTCCATCATTGTTGTAAAGCAAGCATCAATATTTCATATTTTAATCAAAGTCCCGTGAATCATACTTGGATGCTTCTGATATTTTGTGAAGTCCTTGTTTTCATGTTCTCTTTTGCGGATACGCAAGTAGAAGATTTATTGGTTGCATACTTTTGATTGGGACTGAATGATGTGGATGTTTTTCAGCTTCAAATTGCCATCTACTAAGAAAATGTTGTGTGGCTGGTATTTCTCCATGATAGGTGGGTGGCAGCACAAAGTGTGTTCTACCATCTCTACAACCAGGTGTCATACATGTCCTTGGATGAGATCTCGCCCTTGACGTTTAGCATCGGTAACACTATGAAACGTATATCTGTGATCGTCTCCTCCATCATCATCTTCCACACCCCCGTTCAGCCCGTCAACGCCCTTGGAGCTGCCATCGCCGTTTTTGGAACCTTCCTGTATTCACAGGTAATTACCCACTTCTAGTTGGTGTGGAAGATATTTTCATACTTGAACTGATGGCTACGTTCTCTGAATGACCCATGCGAGTTTTGTCATTTAAGAAATCCAATCCTCTCGAGAGATTTTTGTTCGTTTGCATTCTCGTTATGTACTTGTTTTTGTGTAAATAAGTATGATTGCAACCGAAGTCGAGAAAGCAGTCCCTCTCTGTTTCTTTTAAGGCATATTTGACTGCAATGCTAGAATTTTGCTGCTGAACTAATCCGTTTGAATTACTTACAAAAAAAGATGAGGTGGGCCAATGTAATTGAGCATGCACTCTTGTTTATTCTCAAAGACATACGAATCTGAAACTTGATGGGATTCAGGGGGCTACACAGTTTTGCTGGGTTTGCGAGTGAAAGTTTAATTTAAGGATGAGTTGGTTGGTAAAGCAGAAAGCCGTTCACTCTTGCCTATTTTAGGTGGGTGTAGCTACTGATTTGATGGGACCGATGGTTGAGTGTAATTTCGTTGATCTCATTCTTGAGTTGGTGCAAGTTTGACCCATGGATCCATGGTTACCCCCACGCGTAGTAGTTCAATGCAGCAGCCCACCTGTGACTTTCAACTTGTGTACGTCAAATGATGCTTTGGAATATTCCTTGGTTGCTGCTCTTCACATGTTATGGCCGTCTTTGACGAGGGAATTTCTAAGCTGCACACCTGATCTTTGCGATTAATTTAACTCATTCCTTTTGGTATTATGCAGGCGAAGCAGTAAGCTGGCATTGAGCACCGGCCTCGGGTTTTACGAGATCGATGACGGGTTGGTGGGGCTTTTCGCGCTAGCTCGAAGTTTAGGTGAAGCCGGTTTTCGGGAGCCATTGGAATTGGGATCAAGCTGTGGATTATGGGCAGTGGTGTTCTGTATAGTACAATAAGAAGGACCAAATACATAAACAGCTGCGAGAGTTTTTTAATGTTATACGAGGGGGTGGGTTCATTAGGGACTTCGGTTTTTTCTCCTATTGTCTTTTATATCCAATCCTTTTTTCTTTTTTGCTTATTGAAATGCTTTGCGGGAGAGATTTCCAAGAATAACGGGCAATTTTTATAAAGTGGGGGAAGAACAGGACCCTCTTTTGAACGATGAACATTGCGTCTCCTTTTTGCACATTCCTTTGTTTATATGTAATAATTCGTATGTTGCCAACAGCATATGTTGGAAAGAAGTTGACAGCCGACGTATGTTTGGTGAAGTTGGGGCCAAGTTGGGAGGATTTGCGGCATGCGATGGCCATGCGGCCCGCCTTTGACGACAACGACTCTTCGTTTTGTTCAGAAGTTACCCCTCTCTCTCTCTCTGGGGCCAACACTGTATTTATTTATTTTGTTTTGTTAGTCAGGTGGGCTTAGACAACCATTGAGAAGGTCTAAGGGTGATGATATTTAGTTTTAAGTGTGGGGTTCGATTCTCACGTTAGCAGATCAAAAGTTTGAAAGTGATTCGATTCTCACGTTAGCAGAGCAAAAGTCTGAAAGTGAGATGAAAATTAGAGGAGGACAAACAAAAAAGAAGTGAGCTTAGACTCCTAGTAGGGAAAACTATAGTCTTGAGAGCATTGCGAATCTTTTTATATGGGAAGAAATCTTAAATACGTGAATTCACGAGGTAAGTCGAATTCGGAAATCAAGTTTATGCTGCGCATCAGAATTCCTTGACATCTAGGTGAATTAACCCGTGAATTCGGATATCGGGTTTATGGTGCGCATTAGAATTCCTTGACATTTGGATGAATCGACCAGTAGACCTAGAGTACTCCCCTCTAAGAAAGATTCGGGAGGGAAAAGAAGCTTTATGGGAGAATGGGGAAAGGTAGGCGATTGCCTTCCTTACAGGGTTGGGGAGGATGGCCAGCGATTATGTCACCCGATCTACCTATTCCAAGACTTATTATTTCGAAGAACATCGCTGTTAACAAAATTTAAAAAGGAACTTTTTTTTGTCAAGCTATTACAAGTTTGGGGGGTTTTGGTAATATTTTTTTTCTCGGGTACTGGTGTCAATGTCAACTATGGATATGGTTTTAGAATTTTTCATGGCACGATAAGAAATTTCGGGGTACTAATGTCGTATTGAACATAATTGATGATTTTATTTTGGTAATAGCGCTCTCTTAAATTTCCCATCCACTCCCTTTCGTTAAAAATTATAGATACTTTAAAGTTTTTAACCCAAAATTTCATTCCTTCCATTTTCCCCTATTTTATGACATAGCGTCGTTATTCCACGGTGCTTTGTTCATGGGTGCAATCTTTGTGGAGAGCAAATAAATTCCTCCAGTAGCTACTCCCACCAAGGGAACAATTCGAGTTTCATGGGCCGGATTTCGGGTCAACCCATCATGGACGACGGGCTATACTCGATCCAAATTCGAATTAGATGAAATTATACTCGGCATATTGTGAAAGTAGCTTGAAGTAGAATCTTGTTTACATGTTAATATCAATCTACAACATTTGCACCGTGTTCATTTATTTTAATAGCCTTCAATTGAACTATGTGAAATAGTGCATACTTCATGGACTAAATTGATCAAATTGAACCATGCACTATTTTCACATAGTTCATGGACTAAATTAAACATGTACTAAAAGTTCAGAGACCACACTGCATATTGAAATAAAGTTCAAGGAATATATTAAACAAATTAAAAATTCATAAATCATATTACACATTGGGCCAAAATTGAAAGACTATTTGTGTTATTTTTTTCTTTTTTTTTTATAAACTTGCTCATCTTGACTTGTATACCCCCTACTTGATCAAAATAGAGAGAGAAGAATAAAATATCAATGCATTGGTATGTTTGTCATTTCATTAAATTAGAGTGTGGATGAACCCAATAAAGGGTTTGAAAAAGCGTAACCCTTAAAAAATCTCTCAAAGCATTCAAATAGGTAGGTTGTCAAAATGAATCACAAACTCATATTTTTTTTGTTGATAATGTTTTTCATACTATTAGATTTACTCTTAAGCATTGCTTCGAGGGATGTCAAAATCTTCGAAGCGAAGTTCTTATCGATTTGATCCCGAAGTTATGCTATGCTTGGAATATTCTTGTATAGAGGATTATGAGTTAGATGCTTAGCCACCTAGCGACTATGATGATGCCTTGCTTTTGATATTGTTGTTGGACTGTTATCCGTACTTAAGTTTAGTTTCTGTTGAAATGAGAAAAAGTAATAGTAGGATAAAATGTACAAGGAAAATGGTGAGTTTGGTGAGGTAAAGGAAATAGTTCACCATATCTCATCAATCATTTCGCAATTGCTTTGAATATATAATATTATATATTGTGCATGGCGTCTCACATGTAGGCGAATCAACTTTTAGCTTTATTAATTTAGACAACTTTTATTGATTGAGGATCTTTGAATTGCCAACATAATCATAATCTTTGCAATTTCATTAAATTGTCGAGATCGTTGGGGCTTATTCATCGTATAGACTCCCGACTGCCAAGGATGCAACATTGATACAAGGATGCTCGGTATATAACAACTCAAACATTAATGTTTCTGCATTCTTCAATTGAATGGATGTTTTGGAGAATGCGCGGCAAGACCAACTCCACCACCTTCACGCCCTTGTCCATGACCCGCTCTCCAAACCTATCCACATGGGTGTTCTTGTCTGTCGGCGCGATGCTCACCGATGTCTTTGTGTTGTTTGTGATCCACGCAAAGTCTAGCCCGCGACTTGATTCGAGCATCCAAGCTCTCTCTCACCGACTCGACGAGTAGTCCATGGAGTTGCCCACTCTTCAGAAGTAACAACTTAAGGAATAAGAATTGCAAAGTATTCGAACCCAAGTCGAGTCGGGTATAGATAGTTGAAATTATACTGCATAAAAATGGGTAAAATATGAGTTTTTTTTTTTTGCCCGAAGCAAAATATGAGTTAAATAGGTTAGTTTTGGTCATCCCGTTTCGACCCGACCAATCCATTTGGCGGGCCTAAAAGAAAATTATCTATTAATGAAAAATTGTGTTTATTTGGTGGGAGGTTCAGATGTGATTCTTAGGTGGCCGTCCTATTTTCCTTGGATTTTCCCTTTATGGTCGGATTAAACCATCTGGAAACTGTATGCGTCACGCTTTAACTGGATAATCTTTTCACTGAACGGGAGACGGTGGAACCAGAAAGAAACCCTAAACCCCAAATCGGGACCTTGCAATCAGCAGAGCAGCGCGCTGATCAAGAGAGCTCGCAGTCACCACCTTCACCATCTCCGCTCTCGATCGTCTTCTCGCCAACAAGCTGGCGGCTCTCCGGTAATCAACCCCTTGCTCTGTCTAATCTTTATCTCAGTTCTTTCATGTGTAGAAGGTGCCATTGATGGGAAATGTAAAGTTTTCATCTTTGGGTTGTGCAATGTTTGTAAGTCTCCAATGTCGAGGCCCTCCGTTGAGCTTTAGTTCTTTGGATTTGAAAGAGAAAACAATGTAAAGCTCAGTTCTTTGCGTTTGTAGTTTTTGGATGCAATTTGGTGACATTGGAAGTTGAGTATCGTCCTTGTGTCTCGTTTTGTCCATGCTATTTGTGTTTGTAAGATGGGTTTTGAGTAGTTCGTGTTTTTGTGCAGTTGAGTTCAATAGGGGTGCTTGTGAGTAAAGATGGCACGCAATGTATCGGGTCATTCGGGGTCTCCTGATAGGGGTCGAGGCTCTCCTCGGAGGAGCCCTTCTCGGAGAAGCTCTTCGCGAAGGGAGAAGTCGCCCGCCCGGCACAGGAGTTCGCACAGGAGTCGCTCTCCGGCGGATGACAAACGCTCAAGTCGCCCTCGATCTCCTCCGCGCAGGAATTCTCCACCCCCAGCTTCCCGGTCCCCTTCTCCGCGGACGAAGCGGCTGCGGAGGTCTCACAGTGATTGGGACTCTGAGAAATTGACCAGGCGAGAGCATGATAGGAACCGCGGCGAGAGAAATGACAAGGGTGGGCACCGCGAAAGGAGCTCCGATAGGGAAGTTGGGGGCGATAGAAGAGAGAAAAGGTCGGAAAGAGACGACTCCAATGGCAAGTCTTCTAGATCAAGACACGCGCGGTCTACTTCTCCAGTGGAACATCACAATAGGAGCCGGCATCGATCTCTCTCGCCTCGGCCAGCTGTAGATGCCAGAGCACGTGACGAGGTGTCTGGTGATATCCATATCCTATGAATTTTTTTGTGTGTGGATGCAATGGCTTTTTGTGTGCTTTCTGTTATTTTCCTGCGATTATCCAATCCTATGATCTCTGAAAGAAATAGAGAATGAATTTGTGATATTAATTCCATTGTACTAAAAAAAAAAAACTGAAATATTTGTACCTTCTGGTAAAGCATGTTTAATGTTGTGGCTTTTATTAGTGCTCTCATTTAATTCCCTGTTCGCCCTAAATAAGGATTTGGCCTCTGATAAGCTTCTGACCTTGTGGTGGTTACAAGGAAATCTAATAACATAGAATGCCTAGCAGGCTTTATGGATGTGGAATGAACATAGCTTTATTTATCCTAAATTTCCGAAAGGGAACCCCATCATTTCAGACTGCAGGTGGACAGTTGCCATCTAATCAGTGGTTCGCAGATAATTGTGTAGTGAGAACTCGTAATTGCACCCAACTTATGACCCATTGTCTTTCTAGCTACCCTACATTTTCTGTTTACTTTATATTTCTTATGTCCTTATGTCGTGTGAGTAAAATGCTCTAGAAAGAGTCTATGAGTGGGGCAGTACCACAATGCTTTTGAGACTCATTTTTGTCTATGTCGCCATGCGGAGAAGGATAATTGTAGTGGCCTTTCCTCAGAAAGTGGATCCATTTATAATTGCCTCTATCCTCTGATTTGGTGTTCCACTGATCCTCTGATTGCAGTTCTTCTTTTTCTTTACAGGTGTCGAATGCAAGAAGATCTGAACAGCGGTAAGCTGCTGTCGAACATTCTGATTTTCAGCTTTTCATTAGTGATGACTTACTATAAGATTTCTCTTGACTAATGTTTGATTTTTTATTGATCCACTAGACTTGTATGACGGATTCATGCATTATCCTTCTTATGGAAGCAGCTATTTGATGTGTGTGCTCCAGTGCACACTTCTATTTACTCTAGAT